TTTCTCCCTATTTCGATCACTTACACAACAAATGACATGTGAATTGTTCGGCAGTTGCAGGCTTTTGTTTTTTGTTTTCACTGGAAAGTGAGGTACGATAAGACTGCAGTGGCTGTTACGAATAAAATGAACTTCCCAAGACTTGTCAACTAAAAAACTTATCAATATGGTTTTCATCGACGTATTACAGTAGCATGTCCGAATCATCTATAGGTCATGTGTAACTTATCCCGTAATCATTGATGCCTGGCTTAGTAACAATATCAGAGTAGACAGAAAATAAAACGTTAACATAGTGTTTTCGGCTGCAGCCGCAGCTTAACTGGGTTCAATGCCGATTTGTGTTCCCAGATCAATCCCGCTGACGGGTGATTGCAGATGGCACTGGTAGATAGAGAACTAACTGAAAGAAACGCAGAGTAAGGGTCTCCGTGTCGCAGCATATAATGTGCGAGCCCCTGGAAAGGGAAATCGTGGTTCGGTATGGCCCAGGGTCCAAGTTTGGCAAATATCTCGGCATGGTTTTGTTTGAATACCAGAGTTGTTAAAACTGGGTCAGTAATAATATCAGCGAATTTAGCATACTTTCCTGTAAAGATTTTGATCTAGTGAAAATAACGAGTTTACAACGACGTTCGTTTGTTTCGTTGAAGTACAAAGAAATCATTTTTGACTTCTATGTATAGAACTGCTGAATGAGATAATGTTGATTTTTACATTATTAATTTAGCAATGAATAGTTTAAGATAAATTGCATAGAAATCGATGTCTATCTGAGAACCCGATCGATTCACACTCAGATGTGCGCGAGATGATATAGGACAAGGTTAATCGACGCCCGTCCCGGCATCAAACCTTTGGGCAAAAATGGGTTTCTGGCTCTTTGTAACAGAGACAAAAACAGTTAGAAATATTGTTAGAGAAACTACATGTTACCTGAACCTTACATGCGCACTATTTTACATATTCGTCTAGCGCAGTCATAGATTTAAACAGAAAACATTACAAAACGTGATTCATTGGTTAAAATCCAGTTATCCGGCGTACACGATAGACGACGATGGCCGCTTTTTTATTCTACGACCAACGATCAGCACATCAACACTGATACCACCTCGACCGAGTCTCAAAGGTAATGGCAGATAAATTTTAATATTCATATACAGCAGATTAAACGCTTCATGCCCTTCTGCCCTTCATGCTGGTTTTAGCTGCCTCATAACACTATCTTAGCTTGGAGAATCTCCCCCGACGTTTCCACCCGGAAGCCCAACTAAGAGCAAACCAATACCAGGAATCATCGCCGTCTTGGTATCAAACTAGTCGCATTGTGGCAAATCTCCCCATGACTCACAAAAGCGGCGACTGCCTGAAGTGATGACGACCTGTGAAAGGTACCAGCTAGGCTGACCTCGGGACTCCAAGGATTCACAATGGCAGGACCAGCAGAATTTCGGCATTAGTACCCCGCACAGCTGGCACTCCCGTTACGACGTCGGGGGATGGGACAACAGGTGAGAGCCGATGGAATTTTGTGTTCAACAAGACGTTATTGGAAACGGACAAAGCGAGGACGTTTACAACTCGCTGTGGAGAATGCTTCTTGCTCTGGACCTACACGCCAGAACAGTCTCTTCAGACCCCATCTCTACCCTCATTTTGAGACCACCGATTGGATCAATTCCGTGTGATCGTACTACAAAAAACGGAAAGCAGAAGACGGGCATATACGAATTAGATGATGGAGTTTTACCATTCCGGGAGAAAATCTCGCTTAAGAAATGTTGAAGGCGATGACCTTGTCGCACACGCATCTAGTTACTCACCAACTTGCACAGTTGATGAGAGCGAGCCAGAAGCGTTCTAAGACTAGATGCAAGAAATAGTTCACAACAAGAAGCCTTTACGAATTCGTTGTTGGAAGCTTCAACGCCAAATTAGGAACGGTCGACGAAAGTGAATACCGGATAGATAAATTCGAAATAGAGGAACGAAATGATAATGAAAACCGTCTTTTAGGACTATTACCGCAGCGCGTCTGTTCTACGGGAATTCATTTTTCGAGGCGGAAAATAGCCGGTAGAAATGGAAGTCTTCGAAAGGGATGACTTATAAAGAGATCGATAAGATTCTCACAAACAGAAAATGGTGCCTTTTTGACACCTAAATGGCACCTGTATTCTGTAGTGCATCTGATCACCACTCTCTTCGTGCGGAGATTTGATTCAGCCATAAGCTGGAACATCTCCACATATGGCTGGCCGATAAAGGAGGACAGGATCGAAGGCTACACGCTGCTTGTCGAAGGACTTAAAACTTGTGCAACATTGGCCTCATTTCCTCAAACAAGAAGTTCAGACCGCATCTCCATTACCATTAAGGAGTTTCTAGAAAAGAAAAAGACTTGATTCTACTTGATTGAAGCTTAATTCTACTGCATCACACCTAATACGACCGACAATAAATGCCAACAGTCGAAGATCTTTGCTGGAGGATTTACATTGGTATAAGCAGAACAAATTATTGGAAGCAGCTCATAAACGATCCAATCTGAAGAAGTGCCGTCGGTACTTTTGCGACTGTGATGCTCCGTTATCCGTCTTGATGAACGAGATAAGTATATCACTATTTCGCGTCATGATATGGAATTGATAATATAAAGGTTCTATACCAAACTTTTCGGCTCCACGCTCTTCTTCTCTGATCCCGACATAGCCACTAGGCGAACAACCACCCAGGATTCCAGCTTCTGAATTTCGAGTTGCGATAGAAATCATGAAGAGTGATGCAGCTCCAGGACCCGACAATATCAAGACTGAATTCTCTAAATCTGGTTGCTACAAATTGCATGCACTTCTTGCAACCCACATGACATCTTGCCTTCAGAGAGAGAAAATCTCAGACCGGTGGAGGACCTCGCGCACGGCGATCATTCCCAAAAACGGAGACGGAAGGGATCTCGTAACTACCGCCCCATATGCTTGTTGATTGCACTGTACAAGAAGTTCACGAAGATTATCCTTTTGTGCATATCGAAGACCTTGGATGAGGCACAACCCAGTTTACCAACCAGTATTCCGGCGGACCTTCTGCTTCGTGGGCCAGATTAAAGTTGTATCGTGTCCATAGAATTCCGTCGGCAGCACCATCTGCTTCTTACCCTAACCCTCATAGACTACGTAAAAGGGTTTTACAGCGTCAAAACGAATGCAGTCATATTGGCTCTCGTCGGGACCCTGTATACGAACACTAGCACACTATGATCGGAATTGCAGCACTAATATACAAGTTTCCCATCGATCTCTCGCCATGCCCATAGGAAAAGACTTTTAACAAGGCGATCCAATGTGGCCAAAAGTGTTTGTCAGCGCACTGCATTGGAGAATGAAGTCACTCGATTGGGGGGGAAGGGCATATGTGATGCGAATTTCTTATCAAAACTTTGTTTCACGGATGACATCGTCACCTTTTTGATGAGTACCAGTGAAGCGGAGATGATGCTCAATGAAAGCAATAAAGCGGGAAGAAAGGTTGGATGGTGCATGAGTAGGACGAAGATCCAGTTCTTGAGGAATGTGAAACTCGTGCGAATGTGAACAAATCGAAATAGATGGTTCGGAGATTATAAAAGCAAAATCGTACGTATACCTTAGACGTTCGATGAACATGGAGAACAACGTGAAGGAGAAATTAGAAAGAAGAAAGAGAGCAGCATATGTCGCATTTATGGCCTTCGAAGAAACCACCGGCCAACCAACGGACCCAAAATTCCGCGCTCACCTTTTCATCTCAGCAGTTCTCCTAACGCTCTGTTATGCAGCAGAAAAATGGGCTGTTATCTCAACCACATCCAGAATACAGCGCACCACCTAACCACAAAGCGCTTGAACAATGTCTTTTGAAATTTTAACCCGCCTCCCAACGGTTTACCGCCTCATCGTGGCTGTGAGGTGTTCCTGGGTGTTGGACTGCGATGTACAGAGGGAGGATTCGTCCCCACGGAAGGGTCTCCCGAGCTGAAAAAGAGTCCGGTGTTTCACTTGTAAAAAAATAGAATGCTATATGCCCACATTCTTAATAGAAAAACTATTTCACAACTTTTGCGAAGAATATCCAGCGTCAAAAAACGTCGATGTTGTGACCACTGACTGAAAGACCATAGTCGAACCCTAAAGCTTCACGAATTCTGACACGTAGAATTTTTTCATTGAAATTCACGTGAAGCCAAATAGCTAAATAGCCATGCTACTATCAAGGACCTATGTTTGCGATTTCATAAGCATTCATTGTAGATCTGGTTCCTCCTGAACTCTACCACAGTCATCCAAAGCAAATTGCTCCGCCACTTTCGGATTTGCCTCCGCGAATACGAAACGAAGCTTTTTTCATCAACAGAAGAGTTTACGAAATCCAATAGTGTAGGAAATCCTAGCGACCTTAAATATGCATTCTTATGTGCATCCGCATAATACATTCACATTCATATGAAGCAGTGTTTAGAGTCATCATCAGTAGCTCGAAAACTTCGATCATCGTCTCTATGTATAGGATGCATATTGATTCATGGCTATGTTTAACTGCAGTTAAGCAGTGGCTTAATGACGAGAATATTCATTATCTTCTTAAATTTGAGCACATATAATCCTTGTTTCGTCAACCGTTCTGATTTAAGTAAGGACTAGTTTTCTATGGACTTCATGTTACATCGAAATGCAGTTATCGATTGATATTGGCGAAATGTATTGGCAGATCTACTACCTGAGCTCAATTATGAACAAATATCCCTCATTGATTAGTCAGGTGTTTGATAAACTCACCGGAATTGTACTGTGGTTAGCTGTTCTTTAGTGAATTGTGAAAGATGGATTACCAAGGATTTATTTCGAAGATGTATTTAGATTCTATTTAACACAATTCATGAACACCTACTGGAAGAAAATTTGTCTTTTCATTTGTCATTTACTGTAATCACTAAAAAACTTTGTCTCTGAATGTATTTCCTAAATGAAGGTCTGCTTTCTGTTCAACTCCAGTGCAAATTTCGACATAGCGAATCGTGATGAGAAGTAGGCGATCACACCGAGTGTGACGGATATTGGTAGTGCTGGCAGTGCCTTTTGAAGTCTGAAAGAGGCACATCCTTAGAGGTAATTATATGACCTTTCAAATCAGAACAAACAATAAATAAGTACTAACAGAACTAGGAGAACAAGAGTGAAACCAAGACCGGTTAAGATAGACACGAAACAAGCAAGGGTGGTTGCCCAGTCACCGTGTGTCGACGCAGTTCCGACAAGAAGCGAGTAGAAGATGAAGTCACCCAAACCAAGGCGTATATTCCCTTTAATGAAAGAGATATAGGAAAACTGTCCAAAATACGTTGAAGTGAAAGCCAAACAAAATGTTGCCGATGGAAAGCCATTTGCTTAATACGTTAACGTGTGTCTTACTGTACAAAACCAATAACGTCTCACATATTTCGCAAGAACCAAATCGCTAGTTGTCACAGACACAGATTAGTCTTCAAATGCCTTTGATTCTCACATGGTCGAAGGAGTACTTTATTACCAATACACAGTTTCCAGTCCGCTTATAAAGGTTCATGTCTCTTGCTACATCAAATGTGACATTAAATACGGCTCATTGTCTTGAGCCAAACACTCCAGAACTTGTATATTGATACTTCGTTCTTGATACTTGAATGGCCCATCCTCACTGGTTGTTCGGGCCCCAGCATAATCATCATTTATCAGAGGTTTGTTGGCTAAGCTATTGCGGTTCCCTGGAGCCCCGAGGTCAGCCTGGCCAAAATCTGCCCCAGGTCGTCATCACCGCAAGCATTCGCAGCCCTTGTGGATCAGAGGGAAATTTTCTACCATGTGACTACTTTGGTACCAGGACGGTGATGGATCCTGGTATTGGTTTACTTTTAGCTAGGCTTCCTGTTGAGAGCGCCGGACTCTTTCATAGCTTGGGAGACCCTGCTAGAAACATGAATCCCCCGCTGTCCATCGCAGTCCGACACCCAGTGACACCTCCCAGCCACGATGAGGTGGTAAACCATTGGGAGGCAACTTCTGTATTAAGTGCAATAATTGATGTCAAGTGTACTATATAAATAAAGTACATTACTGAAGTACTACTTACTTTCCTCGTCGTCGGACTTCAAACCTGGCATGCGGAAGGACTCGATGAACCTTCCTGATGATGACACCGACTTCACTTTATCTTGAAGCGGAGTACTAAAGAGCGAGTGTGGATAAAAAGAAGGCTACTATCCTTTCCTACTCTTGATACTTTAATACAATATTACTCGCATCTTTGATATGCTAGCAGAGTAACGCAGTTTACGGGAAGCTGTTGGGAACCACAAACGTTTTTTAACGTTACTCGATCGGTACGTCGTATAAACCACACAGTTGTAAGATGGTGGAGAGTTTAGAAGAAATGGCTTTATATGCCAACTTTCCATTCGTTATTGGTGAGCTTTTATCACAATAATACCAGACCACTGCGGACACCAATCTCAGAGAACAATGAATTTATATCATATCGCCGGCTTGCCATTGTCAAAAACTTCAATACCATTCTTTAACTTCTGACTTGCGACGTGATTCGATTGAGTCTGATTGTGGAAGTGAAGCAGAACCAGCTGGAAAGAGGCTATTCTTCAGTAATGGCAGACTTCAGCTGTTACAGCTATAAATCTAAGAAGTCGCATTGTCTTGATTTTTATCTACTATCTATTCTTTTTTAATGGCAAAGAACTATGTGAAACACAATAATAAGGATGTTGAGATATGAGCAAAACTCGGAACTTCAATTGGGCATCGAACCATCGATTACTCTTTCCGACTAACGTGCTTTCAACCACACCATCCGAGGCGCTTTTTTAACCTTTCATTGCATTCGTTTTCTCATTCCCGTTGACTTGTGGTTGCTGATAGCACCGACAGAGGAAAAATGTGGCAGAGATAAGGTCAAATCTAGGTCTTCAGTTGGTATGGTGGATAGAACGTGAGCTTGGAAAGAGTAACCTTTGGTTCGAGGGCTAACTGGGATTTCCAATATATCTCAGTATCATTGTGGTTATAAATCTGAAAGTTCAATTAATTCAATCCGCAAATTTAAATTTGCTGTGCACTGTAGCACCTCCATATTTTCATTGAATTCTAGAGAAAATAGAGTGTTTTTGCAATAATTTCCGCATAATGTAAAAAAATACCGCACTACTTAGCACATCAGTAGTGATAACTAATCTTTTGGGGCAATGGACGCCTAATTTTGGGCCGCTTGCGCGGTGAATCATATGTGTCCTACGTCGGCCAAAGTACACCCCTTCCCCTATCCTACATGTCGCCAACCGCTTATGTTTCTTTTCACGTCATGTGTGTAAGAATGTAAAGTGTATTCATATGCAACATATTCATAATTATATGAATCCATTCAGAAATGGTTTTTTTGCGTTTTTAATGGTAGGATAAAGCTTCTCTTGTACGATACCAGCTATAAACTTAGTGCTACTAAATGAATTGGAAAAGTGCAAAGAAGCTCTATGAAGCGAAATAAACGGCCGAAAACAGAACGCATCACGTTTGATGCACCTCTGCCTGCTTCCCCATAAACAAGTGCATCGTATATGACTCATATCAAGATCAATGAGTAAATAAATACCACTTGCTACTGAGAACAAAAAACATCAAACCATACTATAGATAATAGCCGGCATAAGATCTTCACCACGTTCTTCTGCTGTTTCGACAAGCAATTTCAGTGGACCCTAAGTATTTGTTTAGATACCTTATGAACAACATTTTTAAAAATTTTTCAATTGATTTTCAACCTACACAAGGTGTGAGCACAGCGAATAAATCCCATAGAGCCAGCGTGACAAGTAATACCCAGCTCGTCCATTGAGGGAGAACTTGCATTATAGTAAGTGTCACGGTGACAGAGATTAATATTAATGATGCCTTTAAAAAAACTAATAAAGTGATTTTATGAGGTGAGCTAAAGGGCTTACATATATATATCCCTGCACAACTGCCCTTAGCAAACGGGAGTAATGTTGGCCGCGCAATTGCGATTGTTGTCTTTTCTTCTAAGAAATGCTATTGTTCTCCAACCCAAAAACAAAAACCTTTTCCTTGAGCTACTTAGACACCAAAGTTGCCTGTTTTCATTGCTTATGTGAGATCAAACAAATTTTCTACCCTTCTTTTCCCTTCGCTATCGCCGTTCCTGGTGATTTTCTGCTTCGAGCGTGATGAGGTCTTTCAGTAGAATTCCGTGATCCATAAATTATCCCATTCGCGAATACAGTTATTAAACGCGTGGTAAAAACTCATCTGCCCACTTTGTATGTGGATACCTTATACGAAGCTTCCATATTTTCCACTTTATCGTTCTTATTCTCAACATTTCGTGAAGGCCCTTCGTCATATGACCAATCCAACAGTTTCGATTTCGATGTAAATCGTTGCCGATATGCGAGTTCAATTCAATGAGTTAAATGACTCCGCATAAATGCACGTAGTCTCCCAACGGTTTACCGCCTCATCGTGGCTGGGAGGTGTTCCTAGGTGTAGGACTGTGATGTACACCGGGGGAATTCGTTCCCCCGGCCGGGTATCCCAGGCTGAGAAGGAGTTCGGCGTTTCCATCAGGAAACCTAGCTAAGATTAAATGAATACCAAGGTCCACCACCGTCCTGGTATGAAACTAGTTGCATGGTGGCCAATCTCCCTCCGATCCACAAAAATCGGCGCCTGCCTGTGGTGGTGACGATCTGGGGCAGACTTTGGCCAGGCTGACCTCGGGATTCCAGGGAACCACAAAGGTTAAACCAGCAGATGTCCGAAAAATAGTGAATATGCTGGCGTGCCGTACAAGTATTAAGTAAGTAAATGCACATAGGGAGTACGATAGCCTCAAATACTTAAAGCAGTAACCTTTAAAAAACAAACCTGTTGTAACCTCATGGGTCCTTTCCAGAAGATTGACATCAATTCTATAACGGCTAAATTCATATGAAGGAAACCCATGAAAACAATCGATACCGGCACATTCAGATCGGTAAGAATTTGTCTGAATTAACCAGTCTAGAATTACTGTGAAAGATATCTCAGGAACTGTTTGACAGACATAACTATAGGCACACCACCTCCCAACGGTTTACCACCTTATCGTGGCTGGGTGTTGAACTGCTATGTACAGCAGGGGATTCATCCCTTGGCAGGGTCTCCTAAGCTGAGAATGAGACAGGCATTTCCATCAAGAAGCCTAGCTAAGAGTAAAACAATACAAGGATTCACCACCGTTCTGGTATCAAAGTCGCATGATGCAAATCTCCCTCTGATCCATAAGGGTTGCGACTGCCTGTGGTGATGAAGACTTGGGGCAGACTTTGGCCGGGCTGACCTCGGGAATCCATGGAACCACAACGGCTTAACCAGCAAATATCCGAAAAATGGAGATTATGCTGGGGCCCGCACAACCAGTGAGGATGGGGCGTTCAAGTATCAAGTAACTATAGTATCAAGTAAGACACTCACTGATATTGCACAAATGAGAATAAACTGACTAACAAAAACGTCGAGAACATGATAAATCCACTAAGCAACTGAAAACAAGTAGTCAATCTTAAGTTCAGTTTGTGGCAATAAGAAATAGACTAACTTACACAATAAAATTTGTAGTAAAAAAGACATAAAAGTACAAATGTTGAAATAACGACAACAACTAAGAAGGCGGCCGCGTTTGCCACAGCGTGTAAGAATTTTGTCCCTGGCTCAGCAGCCGGTTCATTATAGATCACATATGGCCTAAAACATGTTCGAAATAGATCTTAGTAACATCTCAATATTTTCAAACACAAACACATAATCTGACAGAGTTCTTCTCCAGGAACTAAAACAGTGGCTTTTTTGTTGTCGGAGGTGTTAAGCACTATGTACGAAGTACTAGTCATTCATGAAATCTATTTAGAAAATGATAAGCTTTCGCCTTAAAAAACCGACGTGGATTAAACTTTGGCACAAATAATCAGCACTTTCGTGGATTACTAACCTTACGCAGAGGGTGAGTATCGAAGTGGTAGTTCACCACGAGAACGGTGTCAGTTCGTTGTTTTTCTTCAAAAAGCAGACACGAGGCTGTTATTATAGAATTTATTAGTAGGTATGTGTTTGAATGAAGCTGTTTCTTATGCGAACACAAATTTATTTGTTAAGTTTTGTCCGCTGGGGTTATGAAAGTGTTTGGCTGAGTAGAACGCATCTCAATTTGACCTTTCCAAGCTCCGAAGGAGATGAAACCGCCGAAACGTCAGCTATTGTATCCTAATAAATTCTATAATAACAACTTTGTGTTAGTTCGACCCTGAACAGCGCTCATCAAGCCTCTCAGCCTTCTGGGGCTGAAAAAATGGTATCAAACTTGTCTGGGAAAAATTTGTCTTTTGCAGGCCAAGTGAAAACGCTCTAGTCGAGCTATCTCAGGACTCCAGATAGGATCAACTTGAGGAGCATTTAATGGCATTTAAGAGTACGACGACCATCCTCAAGCATCAGTCGAACTTGCACGCGAAAAGTTCGAAGACCTTCATGGATAATGGACGTGAGGAAACCAATCCAATGCAAGGATTTCTAGGATCCGCACAGTAGATGTGACAGATAGGTCGTGCAAAAAATGAAGTCAACACGTGGTCGGTATAAAAACTTTTATTCGACTGTGTCGGCGGCTTTGTCTTCTTTATATCTGAATTGATCCAAATCGATGATCCACAGGTATTTGCCACGTGAGTACTGGTTGCTGCATCGAGTCAAACCTACAGAATTGGAGCACCACTCGAATGAGGTCTCCACATTCAACCGTGCTGTTCTGTACAGGACAGATGCTGATCAGCTATCACCCACGGTGATCTGCTTTTTGGATCTGGGAGCAATGTATTCTGTAGCAGTCGGTATTTCATGGCAGAAAAATAGCGGTTCTGAGGAGAAGACGCTAAATGTTAGAGAAATAAATCCTCTTGCCAACCTGTCTTAGTTTAATAACCCAAGAGAGAAAAGCTTATGCTTTCAACGATAGATCCTTCTTAAAAATCAATCTTCTAGTAAGTTAATGAGAATTCCAACATATTCAAGATCATATAAGCGCTATACATGTCAGGTAAGGTTGGTCATTCTTGTCGACACGACCCACTTATGAATTGTAAGTTAATCGAAGCTTGAAATCGTGCGAGTCATATACGACTCATGTTGCGTGAAGTTGGGAGTCGGCGTTGTTGTGAATGTTTTACAAAACGTAGTAAAACCACGATTTACAAGACTTAAGAGTAATTAAGTGTTAAATTTCCTTTCACTAAATATTCTTTCAACAGAAGAATGTTAATCACTGTACATTAGCTTTGACGTAAACTCACGTTGGTATGAGATTCTTGCCATGGTAGATATCGAAATTTCTCACACAGATTACGACAATGAACATTGTAATAGAGACTGGTACGAAAACTTTCACCATATCAGATGGACCGTACAAACGTTTCACTTTTTCAGTAATTCCATTAGTTGAAGTTCCCGAGCTATTTCTTGCTGGAACAAACAAAGTTACAGTGAGTATAAAAATGTGAGCCATTAACTCCTTTGTAACACTTGGTCATAAGAAGAGAAGCCATAGCAATTTATAAAAAACATTCAGAGGGCAAGGCAGAGGAAGTGTTAGCGCTTAAGAAAATTGAGTGAAATAAGGCATAGGCACCGGCGCCACTTTTCTCCAGTAGATCTTCGAGTGGTCCGGGCCGGTGCTAGTAAGGTCTCCAGTTGGACTAGCCGCATGCGTGAATGAAACAGTGGCTGCTCCATGAACTCGCTGAGGACCGTATTTTTTTTTCTAGGATATCAGTCACGGTTTTTGACTATCGGGTCGTTGGTCTCCCTGATAATGCGCTTGACATCCTGAGAAATACAGTTAGTAACAGTTCTTGACCATCGGCTATAACATTAGGAGATTTTCATCTCGTGGCATTAGAAACAAAACCATTCTTAATAAGCATAGTTTTCGTGACATTTAGTGGAGAACCAATCTTTCCACAAGCGACGTCAAAGTCAGCCAACATTCTGTTCTATCTGGCTAAGGCTTGACATTATAAGAGCGATATCATCAGCAAAGCGAAAATAGTGTGATTGTCTGTCGTCCACTTTTACTCCCATGCTGTACCATTCTAATTTTCCCAATTAGTCTTTCAGGGTGTCCGTAAATAATTTTTAAGAAAGGATAAGGCAATGTTGAGACCCTCACCTTATGAATTTATTAATGTAACTATAGAATAGTGACATTCTGATTTTGATATTTTTATATAGTTTACAGGAATATTTTTATACTGGGTAGAGATACCTTGGCTGTCCAGAGCTTCCATGATTGGTTCTGTCGCAACTAAACCAAAACTCGGTCTTTTGATTTATTAAAAGATGTATCAATGAAGCAAAATATTTCTTCAAACTGATGAAAGTGGGATGGAACGGTCTTTTGTACTCTCGCGATACTTCATTGAGTTTTGCTATCGTGTGGTTGTCGTTTTCCTTGCCTTGCCGAGAACCTGCTTGTTCGCTGAAGCTGTCTATCGTGGAATTTCTGTCAGCCTTGCTGTGGATGATTTGAGTGAAGAATTTTTAGGCGACAGACAGCAAGGAGAATGGGCGATAGCTGTTAATGTTGCAGTGTTTGCTATCATCGTGCAACACATAGTGTTCTTCGTCTTTCTTTAAATAGAAACCTTACATTCTGACAGATTTTTCGGCTTCTACATCGTCCTTGAGCGGTTGCTTACTTTTATATTCCTACTTTCGTTTCTGATTTCGGTTTCAACATCTCTCCGAATCAACTAGTAGGAAAGACCGAGCGAAGGATTCGTCGCCGAAAACACACCTCCCTCTGATCCACATTGTGGTGAGGACCTGGATGGACTCCCTTGCAAGGTTACGTAAGGACTCCAGGGAGGACCAAGTTGCACGACCAGCAATAGGCCAGCCTCAGTACCCCAGACACTGGGTGCTCTCATCTGACGTCAGGCGGTGAGACGACCGCTGAGAAGCCAGAAAATTTCGTGTTACGCAGGACATCATTGGAACCTGATCTAACGAACACACGCACGACACGCCATGGAGATTGTTACTTACTATGCACGTATAATGCCAGAACACTCTCCGCAGACGCCTATCTTCACGCCCTTCTTGTAGCCGCAGATCACATTAAATTTCGTGTGATCGCATTACAAGAAACAAAAATCAGGAAGGCCGACATACGCCAGCTAAACAAGGCGACCCTTGCGGCCCGCAGAGAAAATGTCCCATCACGAAATGTCGAAGGAGTACGCTTTGTCGTTCGTCTGTCCATGGTTCCTCTCGTCGAATCATACGAGATCCTTTCCGCTCGCATAGCCGTCCTCCATGAGAAAGAAAAATCAAGAAGACCGACATACGCCAACTAAACAACGGGCCCTTGTGATCCGTGGAGAAAAGGTCCCGTCACGAATTGTCGGTGGCGTAGGCTTTGTCGTCCATTCGTCCATTGTCCATCTCATCGATTCATACGTGATCCTTTCCCCTCCGTCCATAGCCGTCCTCCGTCTTCAACTGTCGCATCATAAGAAGATCACTAACATCAGCTGCTACTCACCGATCGACGTAGTTGATGAGAACGAATTAAATGCGTTCTACTATCAGTTAGAGGAAGTCATCCGATAAAGCATACCATAAATTTGTTGTTGGAGACTTCAACGCCAGAATAGGAAAGGGCAACGAGAGCGAATACAGGATCGGAAATTTTGGATTAGGAGGAATAAATGAGAATGGGAACCGTCTCGCAGGACTCCTGTCAGCAGCACGTCTCTTCCATGGGAACTCGTTAACGGCATGACTCATGCGGAGATCGACCATATTCTGTCTAACAGAAGATGGTACCTACTTGACACATCGGTAGTCCCATCATTCTGTACTGGTTGCGATCACCGCCTTCTTCGCGCGAAGATTCGATTCAGTCGCAAGCTGGAAAAGAACTCTCTTCATCGACCACGAGAAAAAAGTCTGGCTGTATGCGACGAAAACATTCTGAACAAAGTCCTATCCAAACGTGAGTGGCAGATTAAAGAAATCCAACCGAAAACTACGAGCTGCTTGTCGAAGGACTGAAAAGTTGCGCCGAGTTAGCTTCAGTTCCTCAAACAAGAAGATCGGATCGCATCTCCATCACAACTAAGGAGTTGCTCGAAAAGAGAAGGAAACTGAAGCTTGATTCTACTGAAACACGTTTAACATGGCTAGTAGTAAACGCCAGCCGCGGAAGAGCTTTGCAGGAAGATCTACAACGGTACAAGCAGAAGAAAATACTGGAACCAGGAGAGAAAAGAAGCAGTCTGAAAAAATTCCGTCCGGACTTATGTGATTGTAATGTTCCGCTGTCAGCCCTGATGAACGAAGATAAGATCGTCAAAACTTTTCGCCATTATATGGAATTAATAGCGGAAACGTTCTACACTAACCTTGTCCGTTCCACAATCCCCGTCCCGGGCCCTAACATCCCCGCTGGAGGAAAACCACCTGGAATTCTTTCGTCGGAGGTTCGAGTTGCGATAGAAAGCATGAAAAGAGGCGCAGCTCCAGAACCCGATAATATCACTGGCGATTTCCTTAGAGCTGAAGGCCGCAATTTACATGTACTTCTCGCAGATCATATGACAGGCTACCTTCAAAACGAAAAATTCGCAGACCAATGAAGGACGTCGCGCACGGTCATCCGGCCCAAGGCAGGTGGCCGAAGGGATCTTCGTAACTATCGTGCAGCATGCTGTTGAGTGTACTCTATAAGCTCTTTACGAGAGATTATCCTCCCAGGCATATCAAGGACACTGGATGAGGCGCAACCAGTCGAGCAAGAAGGATTGCGAAAAGGATTTTGCGGCATTGACCACATCCAAACCGTGTCCAGGGTCATCGAAGTTTGTCGGGAATACCACTTGGCTCTAGTCCTAAACCTTTGTCGACTATGTGAAACCGTTTAGCAGTGTCGAAACGAATGCCATCCTATCAGTGCTCGTCGACCAAGGAGTAGAGCCGTCCTACATAAGGACTCTGTCCGACTGTTATCGGAGCTGCACTACGAAAATGCAGGTTTTCCATCGACCTCTTACAATACCAATAGAAAAAGGGGTTCGACAGGGCGACACAATATCGCCAAAACTGTTCAGTGCCGCACTACAGTGGATAATGAAGTCACTCGATTGGGATGAGAAGGGCATACGTATTGATGGAAAATTCTTATCAAACCTTCGTTTTGCCGACGACACTGCGAAAAAGATTGGACTTCGCATAAATCGAAAGAAGACCCAGTTCATGAAAACCCATGGAGCGAAGGCGAAGAAATTGAATTGGATGGCTCTCTCATTGCGGAGACCACCTCGCACGTTTGCCTTGGGCGTTCAATGAACATGGAAAACAACATGAAGGAGGAACTAGATAGAAGAAGTAGAGGAGCTTGGGCCGCATTCGGGCCTCTCAAAGAAGCCACCGACCAATGAAGGACCCGAAAATCCGCGCTCAACTCTTTGATTCTACGGTCCCCCCAGCGCTTTGTTATGCTGCAGAGACGTGGGTTGATACTTCAACTACGTCAAGAATGCTTCGCACTACTCACAGAGCGCTTGAGCGATGTCTTCTGAAATACAACCGGCACTCTCAATATGTAGCCGGAATGCGAAGTTCTGACCTTCGAAATCTGTCATATCTTCGAGATCCAGGAGATCATACATCGACAGCGAAACATAGATGGGCCGGTCACATAATGAGAAGAACAGACGACATATGGACGAAAAGAACTGTAGAGTGGACTCCAAGAGAATGCAAACGTCCTCTTGGACGACCACCTACACGTTGAGCGGACGTGTTCGTAAACAAAGTTAATCAGCTGTACCCGCAGCTGCAGTTGTTTTACAGATCACAGTATGAGGCTCACATGCGCTACCATGCTGGAACAAGACCACCACCATGGACTACGATTGCGAGAGAAAGGAACGAATGGCATATGTACTGGGGCATGCACAGCTCGTGAAGACGGACCGTCCAAGTACCCAAGTAAGTACATTCTGACAGAGACAACGTGTGAAGAGCCGAGTCAACGTGTTAATGTGGAGTGGGAAAGTGTTCTTCGTATGTTTAGATCATATTCTGTCCAGATCTAGCATTGTACTGCTCTTCACCGAAGAGAGGGCGCGTGGGATCTTGGAAAGGAGAACCGCTGGTGCCACATTCTGCTTAATTTCATAAGAAGGCAGGAATATGTGGATGCTATAAGAGATCAATAAGAGATCATGGTAATAACTGTTGATAATTTTGTATACTGCGTCCTAGAAGCCGTCACAATTCCCTCTGGGCGTTGAAGTGTATTTGCCACTACTGTCGGTCTTTTTCGCCTTAAATCTTATTTTCGAGCATTTCTGCAGTTCTTGTAAGCTCTAATGAAAGTTGGCATTTGCCTGCGGCTCGCTGCATTCCACGTAGATGTATCAGCTGGAGCGTTTTTTGGAGACGGAAGTCTTCGTGCCACTGCCGATCTTTCGGTTTTCAAAACGGTAACGTGATGTGGAAACGTGAAAATGTTGAATAAGCTGGTCGTATTCTTCATCGATGTCTTCGGTAAACGCGTCTTACTAAGACTCACTAGTGATCTGAATAAATCTCTAATTCACAATTCACTGGGCTTTTACGACTTCGTTTCAGGAAATTTGCAGTTTTCTCATATTTTCATGGAAAATAGAGTTTTACACGAAGGAGGCGACTATCCGATCTCGTGTAAAGTTTTTGGGCAACAGCGACAACGGTTAGGCAAGACCTTTGGTTTACTGTGATGGTGCTTAGCACTTTTCATTGGGAAACTCCCACATGCAGCATTGAGAGTGGAGCCTCCCGAATTGAGAGTTACCATAAATCTTGGTCGTCATGATGAAATGGGATTGCCGCTCATCGCCTTAGTCTCATTAAATCCGTAGGTCCTAATGTGACTTTCTTCAGACGTTTCACTGGGTGAAATCTTAGCATTGAAATCTGCAATGACGAGCTTGAAGTGTTCAATACATGGCCTTCTCTCTAAAACTTCTCGAAGCCTACATAGATAACTTTGACTTGCTCTTCGTCATGGTTTGATGTCGGCGCGTAAACGACGAAGATTGTCAATGCTGGTATTGATCGACATCTCTTCAGTCGCAAGCGTCCGATCAGGGTTGCAAGCTGTTCGAATGAATCGATGTTCATGGACAAACTCGCCTTGACGAGAACGCTGACCTGTCCAGTCTCCTACTGTCGCATGTTCTAAGGAATAGTTCCTCTCTGCTGTCATAGACGGTATTGAATGGATGGCGTCGTCTCGTCTCGGCCAGTACGATGACATCGTACCTTGCCCTTCTTGTGTGCATGATTAAGTCTTCTATCGAGGACTCAGATGCAAGTGCGCATGCGTTGTAGGTACAGATCGTCACCATAGTGCTTTGCGATTTAGGCAGGTTAGAATGGCCCTGAAATTTTAGTAGAGTTTCCGTACTCGTCCTACTTCACGCTGCCGAATCGGGGGCTCTTTCGCGGTCAGGAGAATGAGGTCCACATATTTTAATGTGTTTGGCGATTGATACCCACCGATAGCGTGAACAGTTCTCAGCGTCGGAGCTGGTTATACTTATGGGTAGCTTTCCAGTCCTTCCCAGAATGCACAAGGAGCTTAACTGTTGGTCGCTACTCCTAACATCGCTCACGCCGCAGTTAATTAACAGGTTTCCGGCCGAATTGACTTGTACAGTACAATCTTCCATTTACGAAAGCACATCACGCACATATGCATGAAGATTTCTACGTAAAATACAGAAGATATGCATCAAATCGGCTCAGCAGAAATATGGAGACCTTCCCTTGTATCTACCCGGGAGTCAGGAAAGCACTACATCGCTCTTAGCTGTCGTTTAACCCTCTATTCGCTTCCTCTGGACGCGTCACGTAGCCTCGCGTAAAACTAGGTGGAGAGCTTCCAGTTAGAGGAATCCGTATGACATAGATAGCTCGTGCCGAAAATAGAGTATTTCTGCTAACAAGAATACCATTGGGAAACCAAAAGCAAACAGCGTGCCTACTTGTAATTCTTTCTCTACTAGAGTATTCTTAAGTAGAATTACCATAACCAGTACGTTCCAATCATTTGCGAACTTGACCAGGTTATCATGGAATAAACGTTACTTTCACCCACCTGTGGTAGAAATAGTGCGCTCCTTAGATTTCGACGCTGTTTCATCATTCACGGTCTTTACTTCTTCTTGTTTCAAATCCGTGTTAGATCCGCTACCGTTCTCCATAACATACCGACCATGAATGAAATTTGATGGCAAAGAATGTTCAACACTTATTTTTCAAAGATATCATTTGATTGCAATCATGATAAGCATTGTCAGTTGTACTCGAATACTAGAGTGCTCCGTCATCACAGATTGCAAAGGTTCGTGTCTGCAAAATCTCCACCTGACCGGTAATTTGTGTGAGAAAATTTTCGTTATTTGTGGTTTTCGAGAGCCCTGTTAAGGCATTCTGAGCTCGTCACGAATTGCCCACTAGTGACCATGCTGTTACCGGGATGTCAGTGATTCTTAACACTGCCTGCTCTACATCGCAGTTCAACGGCTATGAACAAAAATCACCACGATGAGGCAATAAATTCTTGGAGGAACGCGCTCTTGCAAAGTATCTTTAATCTAGGATTGCTTATTTATAATTCGTAAGCTGTCGTGCATCTTCAAATAAGTGACCTATCAGGAAGACCTTAAATAATGGTATCTTTATGACTGAGCGGTGGGCGTAGCGTAGTGTAGAGACGCCCTGCAATAGACATAGGTTCGATCCTGCGTTGACGAATTGATACCATACTTCTCTGAGAGGATAGCAGCACTGGCTTGATACATCGGCAGGCCACAGCGTGTCATTGTAAAGGCCAGATATGCACTTAATCACCTCTAGCGATGCCTAATGAAGTCGAATGGATGGTGCATCACTCAAGGATTGATCGACGCCGAGAGCTTCATCCTTTTTTATTATAATTATGCTTAATTGCCACTTGCTATAATAGTTGGAGGGCCGTCACCAAGAGTACACCGTGAGCCACAAATTTTCTACTCGTTTTATTGTCACGTTATCGTCCTCGACGGTGGTGATATGCGCCGATTATGGTGACATCTACGAGTATCATCACTTGATTTGTAAAGGTTACCTACAGTTATCTTCGTTCATTTATCGTTTGCTCTTCTAATCATATGATCGGGGTAGATTTGTGTTTCGCTATAGATGTCTTCCTTTAGATCCCGAAGATGGGTGGGGTTTCCAAGATCCGAGCTGCGTAATCCACCAAGACGTTGTTCGTGCTAGTATATAAAAGCGAATAGGATTTTGGACGTGGTCTAAGTACCAGTCAATGATTCTGGCTAATGTGAGAAGCCCGATCGTAGCCCATACTGTTCTCTATCTTCCGCCTTAGTCCTCCTTCACACTGATGTTCACGACCATTGAACGCCTAATGGTACATGAACGAGGTGGGCTCTGTAATCACAGAAACACCCGCTGCGACTTTTCCCCCCGCTTTTTCATTAACTAGGCTTCCTTCCAAATTATGCGCGGTTCGACTCTTTTTCTCTTGTCGCTGAGCTCATTGTTCAACGTCTCTGTCTCGTTGGCACTTCTCCAAGAGGTGACAGTGTCGTGAGAAAAACGATGATTTGAGGAGATTGTGCTCATAATGTGTTAACCTTCATTGTCCCAATCGACGGATTGCGTTATCCACCGTAATGGAGGTGTGAACTACATTGTCGAAATGGTGTCGCATTCTCAAACTCCTTCCCTGTTGAGATGGTAAGTAGTCGCGACGGCCACGTGGTACGACGCCTAAATTTCGGTCGGTTGCATAACGTTGATGTATGTTGGCTAAGTCATCGAATAAGAATGAAAATTGTGAGAATGAAAGCTCTGTTCTTCAAAACAAGCCATTAAAATGTGAATATATTCTATGCATTCGTATCGTCCACACTGTGTACACACGCGTGTTTGTATACAATGCACATCGTCCGTTGAGTGTTAAGAAAACTATCACAGAGAGGTCTGCATAGTGTTCCACACTGGCTAGAGCGAGTTTCTTTTTCATAACCATAACCTTTACTCCTTATTTTATTCATCATCATAATTCTTCCAATCGATTTCGTTCATGTTTTCTTCAACTCCCATTCGTTTGTTTGTTACTTCATATTCACAACTAATAGTATTCCTTATAAAGAGAATACGGAAGCAAGAGACATCGTATCATTGAGAAATTGGTTTTTCTGTCCCGTTGTCTTTCGTCATCGTAGCAGGAAATTCGCCCCTAAATTTTTATCTACTTACTTATTAGGATGCTTATATGACCTCTGCTCACTGGTTTTACGGAGCCCAGCATATTCTTCAATGTCCGGAGTTTTTCTGGCTTAGCTATTGTGTTTCGCTGTTGGGGTTACAAGTTCTACTTTGAAGTTTTTTTCGTTTTGCATTTTTTTGTTGCCGTGAGAGTCCCGAGGTCAGCCTGGCCAAAGTCTGCCCCAGGTCTTCACCACCATGGGTAGTTGCAGCTCTTATGGATCAAAGGGAGATTTACCACTATGCGACTTTGATACCAGGGCGATGGTGGATCCTGGTATTGGTTTATTCTTAGCTGGGCTCCCTGATGGAAACACCCGACTCTTTCTCAGCTTGGGAGACCCTGTCGGGGGGATGAATCCTCCGCTGTACATCGCAACCCGACATCCATGAACACCTAGAAATCTGGTTTTCAATGAGATCCCTTGTTTTGCTTTTACTAACTTTACTTTCGTTTGAAGCTTATTGGAAATTGACTGTCAAACGAAGCAAAAAAGGAAAGAAGGAAGTGGCACCGTTCTAGAGACTTCCCCCTAACTCACTACCTCTGTAATTACCAAATGTAAAATAATAATTTGTAAAGTAATCAGCTTCAACTGCTATTACGACTGTCCAAGTGACTGCCGCGCGGACGAGTTCGCTCCCCGTCGTAAGTTTTGTTTTGTTTTTGCACTGTACTTTTAATTTACCTTTACTTCTGTACTGTATACTTTGGCCTGATAAGCACTCTAAGGATGGTCGTTCTCATGCTATGAGAGTATTTTTCTTGTAAGATTTTTTAATTCTCAGTAAAAGTTCTCCTACTGTCTGAATTCGTTCAATTTGAAACAGATTCTAGAACATTATCATCTTTTCCGTCCTGGATTTTCCGAAAAAACAAGTTATTATCACTGGATTGTTATCATTTAATGTTCGAATATTGATTGGTGTTGCTGCAAAGTCTTTATCTCGAGTTTTACTACAATTTAGATAATGTTACGACTTCTCGAAGTCTGCTAGTTCTAGTAGCGATGTCGTTCAGCGGTGACACTTAGGATTCCCTTCATTTTTTTTGCCCGAATATTGCCGTTATTTTTTCTTATTCAGTCTTCCCGTTTCCTGAACTCTTCAATATGTAATCGATATCGATCAACATGTTTGTCAATGTGACTATTGTGATCTGTTCGGAGAGTACTGTTCTGTCAGATGTCGGACGAGGGTGTTTGGACATTGATCGAGTCGGATCCAGGTGTTTTCACCGAGATGTTACGAGGATTTGGTGTCGAAGGAGTACAGGTAGAAGAGTTACACTCAATGTCTGAGGAAGAGACATCGCCTTACAGGTGAGGTTTTTCTTTCTTTTCTCTAAAAGTTAGCATTCTGTATTGTTTTAACAGAACTGTTACATTTCGAAACAAAAACGTCATTTATTTTGGTCACTGTCACGGTTTTTCTCTCTTTCAAACCTTAAGATTTGATAGTTTAAAACCGACTTCCCTTCATCCTCGGTATGACTAATCAATACGTATTCTTTATTTAGTAAGCTTACACGAGATTGATCCACAATCTTTCTTTTCGGCTAACATCTTGACGTCTTCGTCTTCATCGGAGGTTGAAGATTTAACGTTTTTACCAATGGGTTCGTCTTCGTCTTCATCGTCTTATGAAGACTTGATCTTTCTTACCAATGGCTTATGTGAATTTCTCACTGCTGTGTTGTCTGAACGGAACTGTAACATCTGAAAACAAGAATATCAGCAGTTTCAACGATGATTCTCAGTCATCATGTGTTATTCAAACCTAAGCATTTGGTCTCTCTTCCCATTTCTTTACACAGATGGTGGGAGATGTTCCTGTATTTTGCTCCTTGACGTATGCCCATGTTCATTTCCGTCCCAGTAGCACCGTCAGACCTGATGAGTTCAATATGTACATTCAGAAGCTGTCAGGAACAAGTCAATGCCATGAATCGTCACCATCTTTAACGAAATCCAATCGGAAAATGGTAAACCTCCACCTGACCCACAAAGGCCAGAAAACTGCGGCTGATCTGAGAACGTTCCGCGTAGGTTTCTGGGGATTCTTGGCAAGGAATCTTCACAAATGAGCAACGTATCAGTTATCTGGGAAATGCACGGGATTGTTGAGATACGTCCTTCAAGAATTCAAGTTCAAGTACTATAATTAGTAGTGCTATTTATTGCTTTTATAGTTAACATTTGGTATAATAACAAAACAGAATGTAACAACAATGATGCTCAGATATTTTGAAAACTCCGCACCGCAGTTGTCTGCGACGGGGATCGAACCCGTAATTGTCCTTTCTGAAGGCTGACGTGTTCACCTTCACATCATGTGGGTCCTCCAATTCTCTTTTTTCTTAAAAAAGAGAATTTTATTTATCGATTCCTTCAAGCATGTGGTATGGGTAATCATCTCTAAGCTCATATCCACCTTAACTTGTTTGATGGTGCTTGGTATTTATCCCTCTTTATTACTTTTATTTGTAATGCTTAGATTTGCATCATTCTATTCCAATTGTTTTATTTTCTCTTACCTACAAAAATGTAATGGTTACCTGGCTGTGATGGTTTTGTTTTCTACTCTTAGCATCTATTTTAGTCCAATTTATGGGTTGATTTTCCTTTTCAAGTGGAGACCTGGTGAGGATCCCATTGGTGAGCCGGTCGAGACAAACAATGTTTTCTTTGCTCAACAGGTAGGACAAGCGATGACTATTATATAACATTAATGTGATCTGTTGTGCTTTTGTTGTTTTCCTTTCATCCTCATAAGCAACTTTTATTTCAGGTGATTACTAACGCTTGCGCTACTCAGGCTATAATAAATCTGTTAATGAATGTAAATGATCCAAAAGTTAAGCTGGGACCAGTTCTTGAAGAATATCGCGACTTTGCAAAACATATTGATCCTGCAGTAAGTGGAACACAACACTCTATTGCAAAACTTTTAAAGCCCAAACTTCGAATAGAAAGGAACTATGTATAAAGTCGTTTTGAGGTTATTTTTTTCTAGAGTCGAGGATTGGTACTGTCAAATTCAGAGAAAATTCGTCAAGTACATAATAGTTTCGGACGCCCTACTTTCTATGAACTGGAACTCAATACCCCTCAGTATGAGGACAATTATCATTTCATTACTTTTGTTCCGGTAGGGAACAAGGTGAGTGGCGAAGTTTTTGAACCTTTGTTATCGAACGCTCATTCTAGAACTGGTTCGTTTTGAAACAGTGATGAGGTAGCTATTTTTATTCTTTCTAAGGGAGTTTTTGGTCCTTGCGTTTTTTCCTACTTTCTTTGTTTTGGATTTACGAGCTAGATGGTCTACGAGAATTTCCATTAGAAGTTTCCGCGATTCCAGAAGGAAAGTCATGGATGGAAGTGATAAGTCCAATAATCACAGAACGGATGCGAAGGTTAGGTTGGCTTTTTGAAGTGTTTCATAGTAATGAAGTAATACATGAATTTAATAACTCCTCTGAAGATTCAATGACGGCGATATCATGTTCAACCTCATGGCTGTTGTTGGCAACATGATGGAGAAATATACAAAGAGACGAGAAGAAATTCTTGAGGTACCAATTTAACCTTTACTTGCCCTTTTTCTTCGCGTTATTACTAGTTCACCCTAGGGCAAGATTACTTTTCCTTCCACGGAGGCGATGTATGATGAGTTGGCGGCGGTTGAAAATAAAATCGATGAAGAAGGCCACAAACATGACGTGTAAGTTTTTTTTGACAGTTTTTCATTTCAATACGTTCGCAGCAGTCTCAATTTCTCGAGGGCCACAGATACTTCTCTGGTAAATATAAGTACTTTGTGGCTGAAGAAACTTCCAGAGAAGTTTTCGTCCTCTCGTTCGAACTCCATGCACATTTTTCAAAGGCTTTCTTTTACTTCCAGATTTGTTTTAAATCAAAATTTCGAGTAAATTCGGAGGCATAATTAACAGTGTTATATTTTTTTTTAACGTGCGTATACAACAACCAACAGTTCATGAGTTTTCAGGGACACTATGGTGTCCATTTAAATGAGATTCCTCTTGTTCAGTCACTCGAGATACGAACTTCTGTGAAGAAAATGAAGCGAAATGAAAGCTTCCTGCCTCTGATAAAGCATCACTGTTTGTTCAGTATAGAATAACGAGGCTAGTGTTTTGTTGAGGAATTGGCTAGATTATAGCATCGGTTGTGCGGACACCCTGAATAATTTCCATCTTTTCGGTTTTGCTGGTTTAGCCATTGTGGTTCTCTGGGGTCCTAAAGTCAGCTTAGCCAAAGTCTACCCCAGATCCGCCGAAAGACCGACTTTCTATAAACCTCGGCATAGATAGTTGATATATTTATTTATGTGATCTTATAAACTGATCTTCTTAAGCTGACGCGAGGTTGGTACAGATCTTCGTTGTCGTTGTCGTTGGTTTTGATGTTATTGATCGATGGCTGACGTTTCGGCGACTTAGCCTTCCTCAGAGCCGTGATGTTACGTGCGGGAGTCCTGACAACGACAAGGAAGATCTCTACCAGCCTCGCGTCAGCTTAAGAAGATCAGTTTATAAAATCACATAAATAAATATATCTACCCCAGATCGTCACCATCACAGGCAGCCGTCACACTTGTGGATCAGAGGGAGATTGGGCACCATGCGACTAGTCTAATAACAGGTCGGTAGTGGATCCTGGTAGTGGTTTACTCCTAGCTTGGCTTCCTAATGGGAACGCCGGAATTCTTCCCAGTTTGGGAGACTCTGCCGGGGGATGAATCCCTCCGCTGTACATCGCAGTCCGACACTCAGGAGCACCTCGCAGCCACAATGAGGCGATAAACCGTGAGGACATATGCTGTTGAAAATTGATAAGCGAAATTATTTTTTACCAAATATAGATAGAAATTAATGTGTGTCATCAGAAATGCGTTCTTATTATTTTGGTGAAATTCCACTTTTATAACCAGGTTTTTAAATATCCTTGTAGTTGTAGCTACCGCCGAGAGAATGCAAGGCGGCGTCATAACTATTTGCCATTCATCGTTGAGATTTTGCGTATACTGGCGAAGGAGGGTAGACTGGTACCGATGGTCGAGAAAGTAAGCGCTTACACTCTCTTCTCGAATAACTTTGGACTTCTGATATTTCTTGTAAGTTGTTGTTTGACTTCGAGATGTTTCTGACCGGGAAAATATCTCGATGTAATCAACTAGGGTAACCTGTACGTTCGAAGAGCTTCCTTTCGTTCTTGTACATAATCTTCCACAACATCTGTGACTAAGTCGTTGCTTTGTTTTTTTCAACATTTCATGCTTTTTAGGTATCTATTTTCCTTTGATTCTGTTAAATTGTTGTGTTCCGAGCCGTATCACGGCTGTTTGTAGTTAAAAGTCCTACTCTTTCCAGTTTTTAAATTTTCAAGTTCTTTTTGGAATTTGTGTTGCATTTCAGGCCCAAATCAACGCTAGATCGAGATTGAGTCGAGAAAACAAAAGGAAAATGCAACAGAACTAGTTAGAATGTACTCAGTCGACCGCCTCTTTAAGTACACTTCTATCTCAGTTTTCGTCATTCAGATATCTTGGGTTTACAGACAATTCTATTATTCTTTCCCATTAAGTCGTCATCTTTCCTGAAGTCACCTTATATCAGTTGAATATTCTCGTGGTGAAGTACGTTGCATTTCGACAGACATGCGATGTAATTTGTGAACTGTTCTTGTTGGCTCTTGGAGTTAAGTGCTCTTTCCTCCATGATGTTATATTACTGAGTTATTGTGTTCTTTACTCGTAATAAAATATAATTGTCCTAAAAGTGTAGAAACTTCTCTTTCGGTTTGTGGCGATGTTGATTTCTGTGTCGATGGGAGGTGAAGAAAGTGTCGTGCTCTAATGTGTGAGTTTGTCTTGCCATTTTTCTTAAAGAGGATTTCCAGGTAGTGAGATGATCACGCATCTCTAATGAAAAGTCAGTTCATACTACTTACTAGGATCCACCAGTAGGATGACGATACTGACTGTTATTTCGTAGATAAGAAGCTAGTAATCCGGAGTGATTCTTGTTTTTATGTTGCGAAAATGGCATGGATTTTCAAGTACTGAGAGTAGTTGTCTTCCTGTTCAGTTTAATTGTAAGTGGAGTCTACGCATATACACAGTCGTTCACACTCTTGGTCTGCTGCGAACATGGTGACGTTCCCGAGGTTCACTCTGGAGTGCTGAAATCACTTCCATCTGTGAATACAGATAGATGACGTTAGCCACGAACACATCCTCCCCCACCGTTTGGGTGTTCATCCAAGAGGGCGCTTGCATTCTCTCGGAGTGCACTCCACTGTTCTTTTCGTCGTCTGTTCTTCTTATTATGTGATAGGCCCACCTGTGCTTCGTTATCGCTGTGTCTTGTCCTGGATCTCGAGCACGAAACAGGTTTAGAAGACCTGAGCTTAGCATTCCGACTAGGTGTTGTGAGTGCTGGTTAAATTTTGGAAGAGATCGTTCAAGCGGTATGTGGTTGATGCAATGAGTTCTTGATGTGGTTGAAGTATAAGCCCACGTCTCTGCCGCATCATGGAGCACTGGGAGAGCTGATGACTCGAAAAACGTGAGCACGAAGTTTTGAATCCAGTACTTTGGTCGGTGGCTTCATTGAGTTACCGAAATGTGGCCAGTGCCGTTATCCTTCTTCTGTCGAAGTCCTTGGCGTGTCATGAGTGTGCTCGTTTTGTCTGTTTCTAATGATGTCCTATTCAACCCGAGATTTGATCGCTTCTCACCTTCCGAGGTTATAGACAGAAACGCTTAACGTGCGGAGTACTGAGGCTAGTTGAGGGATTTGTGATCTCCTGGAGTCTCGAGGTCAGCATAGCTGGACTCTCAGGTTTTCACCACCCCAGGCACGTGCCGGCCATTGTGGGCCGATGAGAGATTTCCCGCCTTGCGACTAATTTGGGAGACCAAGCCAGCAGTGGTTCCAAGTAGTATTTTATTCTTAGTTGGGCTTTCAGAAGGAAACGTCTGACCGCTCAGCTTAGAAGACCGTATTGTGGGTATAAATCCTCCATTGTACGTCACATTCCAACATTCAGGAGCACCTTGCAGCCACGATGATATATGTGTACATTGTAAGAATACTAATTTTTTAACATCAATGATGCTGATATATCTGCAAAACTCCGGATTGCAGGTGTATGCGGTGGGAAACGAACGCGCTATTGTCCTTTCTGGGGAGTAGCGCACTTCACCACCACATCATGCGGGTCCTTCGTTTCGCCTGTCTTTCAACTAGTTCTATCGACCTTTCGCCCAGATTGACACAGCAGTCACCCATCAGCGGGATTGATCTGGGGGACCTAAATCGACTAAATAATAGTAAAAAGTGAGAAAGGGTAAACAGTAAATAATAAGTTGAAACAACTTTTTTAGTTCTCGAATCTGTAAGTTTTTTGTCAGCGTATTTCTCCAAGAAATTTCAGCGAAGCATAAAAATGCCTCAAGTGCTGCGCTAGCTCATAGTGCCAATTTTTTTCCGGTCTTTCAGGAATGGGATTGGCTATGGCACACATATGGCTTGGACCTTATTAGTCAGTCGTCATCAGTTACAGCTGTTATTCTGTAGGAAACATCGATGAAGCTTGGTATGGATTTGGTGTATGTCTTGGCGTTGATTATTTCTACTGAAGCTGTGGAATTCGACATCCAAGGATATGTCATATTTTGTCCGTGTATGGGTGCGTTTTTTCCTCACTTTCCTTGTTTTTTGTCTTTTACTATTTCGTATATCCACTGCGCCCCTTTCTCTAACCTTCTAATTTCACAAACTGTTGTAAAAACGAGAAAACTGTGGAATGAGGTAAATGTTACCATTCTATCCGCTAACATTTACCACTGTATAGTTCGATTCCTTTGGACAAGATATTAGTTGAATACAGTAACCTTAGTAAGCTTTTTGCTCAAAATAGTCAAGAAGAATCTGCGTTAACCTCAATGCGTTCGGTCACTTATGTGGCAACGAAAAAGAAGTTTTGGACTTTAGGCCACGGCAACATGGAAATCTGCGTAATGTCATGTATTCGTTTTAGAATTTGTAAAATTAAAAAGCTACCAAAGACTTTCGGAAGTAAGTACATGTGAGTTCGGTTAAACAACTTTTTCGCCCATCATTAAGGTTTATAAGGTTGACCTACGCAGGGTTCATATTTTGTTATGAACATAGAATTCTTGCTAAGGTTGATTTTCCCAATTTTGAGGACCATCAATGTACCGAGTGTATTCAACGAATTAGTATTTAATCCCAGAAATTGTAAACGATGCGTTGATTTTACTCCGTTCTGCCTTCACAGGTCGTTTCGGCAATCAAGTTGATCAACTTCTTGGAGTCATGCATTTTACACGTACACTTAATAGGACGCTGGTGCTGCCAAACTTCATCGAATACCCCTTTCCAAATACGGTTCGTTTTAATTTTTCCAATCTCTGATATTTAACATGAAAAATACCTTTTTAAGGTAGTGAGACCGTTTGAAAGTGTTTTTCAAGTTGCTGGAATAAGGAGCTATCTCAGAGTTGTCAGAATGCTGGACTTTACAAGAGATATCATGGATATCTTATGGCCAAAAGAAAACCGAACTGGTAGGTGTTTCATACCTTTACTTCTTAATTTTTTTCGAAGGAAATGGACTTATTTTTTCTCGTCTCATCCTTTATCTGCAAATCTCTATTTTCCTGCCAAGTTTTTTCGCAGAACAATGTGCATTAACGATGCGTCCCATTGAGAGCTTGCTGTTTAGCTCAAATTCTGGACCTCCCCACCATTACTGAATCATTTGTTTATCGATAGTCACAATACTAATTCCTCCTATTGCGAAGAAAATTCTGACAATACGCTTTGCAACAAATATACTTTTGCACTAACGCCTTGAAACACTTCTCTATACGAAGGAGTTCAATGAATATCACTGTTAGGGCGATATACTTTGCTATTACAACAGTTTCTCACTAAAGTTCTCATTTTGGGGTGAGAAACTATTGCTGTTGTAGAGAGTGTGCCACATGGAGAGTGTGGCCAGTGAAGAGATGTAAAATTACATCTGCTTCGAAGAACAGACAACGGATGCAACATACAGCATCATTTTTCGTAAGCAGTTCGTCATTTTCTAATTTTCTATACCTATGAAAACTTTTCCTCCCAACGGTTTACCGCCTCATCGTGGCTGTGAGGTGTTCGTGGCTGCGATGTACAGCATGGGGATTCACTCCCAGAAGAGCCTCCTAAGCTGAGTCCGGTGTTTCTATCATGAAGCCCAACTAAGAGTAAGCCAGTACCAGGATCCACCACCATTCCTGGTATCAAACTAGTCGCATGGTGGCAAGCCGCTCTCTGATCCACAAGGGCAGCGACTGTATGTGGTGGTCACGACCTGAGGCAGACTGTGCTGTGGTCCGCACAGTTAGTGGAGGCGGGCCATCCAAGTATCCAAGTAAGTATGAGGATTTTGGTCATTGCATGGAATGGGAAGACATCAAAACTACAAGGAAAACATTGTAAAGTCCTTTGCACAGCTTGTACAAATTCAATAAGTGCTGATGGCAATACGGTTGCATAGCGGACGAGTGTTTTTTTCTTCATACACAAGAGCTGTATACGCACCAAAAACAATCGAAGGTGTACTGAAGAATATAGAGCAAACGTAGAATAAAAGAAGCTCAGAAATTTCTCAAAACCCAGAAGGAAATCGATTTATAGAACGGTAGTCATAACAAAAAGGGCGGGGCTGCATGAGAACTGTCGGAGTCGCCAGTGTGACATCCATTGGTGTCACAGTGAACACTGCAAAAAGTTTGAAAAATCCGAAAAGAAGCCGAAATTAGGCGTCGTCACGAAAGTGTTAAGAGATTCTTAGGACTATATTCGTGTATTTCTTGTAGTAATACCGTTCATGATGGGCATGGTGCCTTTTCGACCTCGCTCACCAAGTTTGTCATTCCTCCGGTGTCAGAAAATTCGTACCAGATTTGTCTATGCCCAATTTAATTCGAGTTCACGCTGGAACGCTTTAGCACAGGTGTTCAAAGATTCCAAAGGAAACCAAGTGAACTAACATTCAAGGACGTTCATAAAGAAGGCGAAAATCCTCAATGAACAGGTAAACCAACAGGTGAAGAGTTCAGAGACCTTCGTGGATGCTGGATGCAGGGAAACGAGTGGGATACAAGAATTGCTCGGATCCGCACAGTAAATGTGAAGATGGGTCACGTAAAAGGAAAAACTAAGAAAATGTATTCGTATCTTTCCATTCTTACTCAAGAAGAAATAGGGAAAAAAATATAGACAATCTTTCTTTTCCTTATTTAAGAATTTCTAACTAGCATTAATGTACCTGAATAAAACGTTTAGCACTATGTTGGAGTCCTCACACCTCAATTTACGACGCGAATGCACCCGTCGGCTGCCACGCTAAAGAAGGGAATCCTTTCGGTCTCTACTGGGATTCGATCGGCATTTCCTTCACCAAAGATGCGTATTTTGGAGAATTGGGCTATGACTTGACCTTAGGAGGTTCAAGAACTGCTTGGAATGAAAGGTACTATTCTATTTCTCGACATTCTCAATATTTGAGTTTTTCGTAATAATTCTTTAATTTTACTAAAGTCCCCATTTACATATTTAATGAAAGAAATCTTCCTGAATTTCTTCCGTTGGCTTTCAGCACTGGTTTAAGATTATTCTTCTCCCTCATTGAACTAGAATAGACCATTTAAAATATTTGCGACGATGTGAACTAATTTGTTTTTCACAGCGCTCTGAAATAATTCTCATTTTTAAGCTAATGTATCAACTAAGTGAACTCTATGTATTCAAGTAAAACCACTGAAATCCGCACAAGTTTTTCCTCTATGTTGATAAATTTCTAGTTTTATCTAGCCCGTAAAGCTTACTTTTTTCTTTTTCTTCGTCATTGATCACCTTGTTTATTCTTTCTTTCTTTTGATTGCTGAGAGCACTTCTAGCTCAATAACATGGGTGAGAGAAAGACAAAACGAAGGACTTGCATGGTGTAGTGGTGAATGCGCTAACCCCAGAAAGAGTAATAGCGTGTTCGGTCCCCACCGCAGACACCAGCGGTCCGGAGTTTTGCAAAAATATCTCGGCATCATAATGGCTATATCTTCCTTTTTTGTTGGTTTTAGAAGATAAATTTTCCAACTCTAGTCCTTCGCCGTTATGTTTTGCTCATAAAAACTGTCTAACCAGATTTCCTGTATCTGATTTTCCCGTGCTGGCGTTTGCGTCTCCTCCAGCCCCTTTCCCCTCTCGTTCGTTCACATGGCAATTGCAAAGGTGAGAACAAAGTGACAAAGTTATTATTTCTTTTGAGCTTTGTGCTTAAAGACATGCACTGTTTGTTTGCATTCTAGATACCTGAAATGGAATTCGCGCATTGCGGGGAAAGCAGACGAATTCATTAGGAAGGAACTGTCCAGCCCTTTTGTTGCTATACATCTCCGCAATGATAAAGACTGGGTAATGACTTCTTATTCTTACACAAGTTTATAACACTGTTGCAAGTACGTCCGGACGATTGAGTACGTCCTCTTTTTCATTACTACAAACGACCCTGTAAATAACTCCGAAGGTGTCCAGTTTCATGAATCTGTGGCATTTTCTCATATTTAGTTTCAGTTAGTGTTAGTTATCCATCCATAGCGTAGGTCGTACACTCAATTTCAGGTTCGTAATTCATCAGATAGGACTATTATAATTCATTATGTGCGTAGATCTCTTACCGAATTACTTCTTCCCATGACGGACTTTCTATTAACCTGGACATAATTCAAAAAACCAACTTTCTATGAACCTCGGCTTAAATAGTTGATATATTTATTTACATGACCTCATAAACTAATCTTGTTGAGCTGATGCGAAGTTGGCAAAGTTTTCGTTGTCGTTGTTATCGTTAGTGTTGTTGCTCGATGGCTGACGTTTCGGCGATTTCGCCTTCCTCAGAGTCGTGCTGTTACGAACGGGACCCACTAAAAAAGCCTAGGCATAGATTGACGATCCACTGTTTTTCTTCAACGAGTAAGCACGAGGTTGGTATTATAGAATTTATTACCACACAATAGCTTAAGTTTCGGCAATTTCTTCTTCTTCAAACCCTGCAAAGGTCGAATTGACGCGCAATCTACTCAGCCAAACACTTTCGTAACTTTAGCAAATAAAGCGTAACACATAAATTTGCATTAGCATAAAAACAGTTTCTTTTTAATATCCACCGTTTTGTTCGTTGAAAGTCTTCCACCTACTTAGTGCAGACCGGCTTCATAGAGTTTTACATGGGAGAGGAATGTGCCTGGCTCAGGTCATAGAATCAATTCGTTTTCTAGCCTTTGTTCCTTGCCCATGTATTACTCTGTGCGGCTGCTCTCCACCAATTAACTGGAACACCTACAACGAATAAAAGACTGGGTGTCTAGAGAAAGAAGTTCTTTATTATGTGAATGAAAATTTGTGTGTATGTTAATTTAAGTTATGAAAGTGTTTGGCTGAGTAGATTGCATGTCAATTCGACCCTTCCAAGCTCTGAAGAAGGCGAAACCGCCGAAACGTCAGCTGCTCTGTGCTAATAAATTCTATAAAACCAACCTTGTGTTTGCTCATTGAAGGAAAACAGTGAATTGACAATTGCTTCTTACCCAAAGTGTAGAGAAAATTCCTACACAACATTTTTAAAGCCGCATGTTTGCGAACACTTGCCGTCCGATTCTACACGTCAACCTCTTTTCGCGTCTATGCAGTGTGACACCGAAGAGGATTACGATGGAGTACTCACTAAGGAAATGTGCTCGCCTTCGAAGACAACTATTGTTGAACAGGTCCGTTTTAGCGTTGTTGAATCAAATATATTACCATATGTATCTATGTATAGTACTATCATATTAGATCTCAAAGATAAGGCAATTTTGACGATATGTCAGCTCCGTTTTTGCAAAACCTCGAGTTCTGTTTTACTTAGCATCTTCCGAAAAAGAATTGATGAGCAGCTGCCACCAATAACTCGGTTTCCAGAAGTACTTTTAAGATCGATATCTGAACGATTTTCAGACATTGTATCTGTCGAAAGTCCCATTAGATCTAAATAGAAATTGTACTGTCTGTTGTTAAGTTTGTAGATCTTCTATCAAACGATTACTTTCACAGGTTGTAGAGACGGTAGGAACAATCGGAGCACGTTCTGTATTCGTTGCCAGCGATAAAGACCACATGATTGAAGATCTTAACAAAGCCCTTAGGGGTTATGAGGTGCGTTAATTTATTACATCTTCTGATAGTGAAATAGTTTTATACCTGTAGTATTAGCAATATTCCAAAAAACTTTCATCCTCTTGAGGCTTGAATTGTATGAGGTGGCAGTGTATAAGGTTGCTTGGGCCAATGGGTTATAGAGTAATAACATAGTAGAGAGTGGTAGCTGGTCGGGTTTCTCTTCTTCGGCCAATTGTTGATTGAATGTTCGAGTTTCCTGTGGTTTGCCACGCGGGACTTTTTGTTCACGTAGCCGTATGTGCCGCAGAACCTCGAACTTTGGCAAGTAAACCTTTGTATATGCATATTTTACTTACACAATAACGCAATGAGATTATAAATATGTACCGAATAGCATACCTGGTTGTGTGTCTGATGGCTACGATATGCCGTGTCTCGTGGCGTACCGGATGATTAAGATGTGATGTGTAAATCTAGGGCACGAACGCCGACATTGTAACAAATGCAGTCCCTAACGATTTATAGTGTGTTTATTAGCAGATAGAGAATTATCTATTTGATAGAAGAATTCGCTATATGGAGTAACTAGGAGTTATGAGGTAAGGAACTGTAAAAATGAAGAACCGGGAACAGACGTGAAAAGCCGCAAAGCCGTAGCAATAAATTTCAGTAAACTAAAATTCTCAGGAGAATATGTTACCATTGTTGGTTTAAAGAACTAATAGGAAATAAGTTCATATATGGAAGAAAGAAAGAGATTTTTTTTTTTCGAAAAAGAAAGCCGAAAATAAATATATTTATCAACCTCGTGTAAGCTTATCAAGAAAGAATACATAAAGAAAGAGATGTCTGCATTGTTAATGTCAAGTTACAAACATGAGAAAAATGAAGAAAATACAACTGTTGCTTAATATACATGATGTTGCTTGAATATCCGAATAATCCTCCGCGAATTTGGAATCGTGAGTGAAATTGCACAATCTATATGAAATTGGTAATTTGAGTTCATTCCTCAGGTTTCCCTCCTCTGCAGAAACCACTAGAGCTTTCCTATGCAATCATCACTTCAGTTTCGGTATTTTATTGCCAAAACTGCACTGATTCCTGGCAGGCAGATTTATTCCTGGCTGGGTTACCGGTAATCATCAACTTCATTCTGGGTCTGGGAGACTCTGCTAGGAAGATATGCCCCCACCAAGTTACCCATTCCACTTCGAATAGTCACAGTCTGATAAGATGGTAAACATTTTTAAGGATATGTGATGATCAAGCCTAAAGTAGTTTGATTATCGTTTTTTGCCAAATAGACAATAAATCTCTTGAGACAAAACATAGTCAATGCATTGTTAAGGTAAAAGCACATCGGCTGAATCCTGACGATCCTTTGCTGTCGCTAGCTGTTCTGGCAAAAGCCGATCACTTCATTGGTAACTGTGTGTCTACGTTCTCACATTTAGCAAAACGGGAAAGGGACACTAAAAAGCCTCCGAAACCCACTTCATACTTTGGCATTCGTCGTCGTACCAAACGTATCGAATTATAAATATCCATCACAAATTGATTTTCAAATCTCAGATATTAGGCGAATGTTGCTAGCTGTTCTCGTTATAAATTTCGCATATTTAGTCTTTAGCTTAACCCTTCCTGTTTTTTCTAGCCTTTCCTATCTTTCTGTTGTGTCTTCATTGCCACCCCCAATCCTCGTAATTGATGGAAACGTCACCAAGTAGCCAGATTTTCCTTTGCTTTGTTGTTGGGATGTCATATTACAACATGTACTATGTGATAGTTGTATTTACTAATGTTGTTGACTTTCATGTCGTACAATTTCCCATTGGTCTCGTTGATATGCTATAAGCAAAAAAAGAAGTCTTTCTTCTTAAACGAATTTCCTTTCGTATGAAAATTGGCATGAGATAGTTCACAAATTTGGATTTCAACTTTGCTCAAGTGTGCTAAATTTTCTTATTCGTCTTGGGTTCTAGTCCTGGATTCTTACTCATGTTTCAGTTTTTTCTTTGATAAGATCCACAGAATCAAATAAATCTCCATTCATGGACATTAGTAATTAGCAACAACTTCAACAGGCGAGTCTAAAGATACGGTGTGTTGGAAAGAAACCTGTGAAGTAAAACGCAGTAAATATGATTCTTAAGTATATTTTCGCCACGTATTGAGAAAAGAAAACGGGAGTTAAATAGGTCTCTAGCAAATCGGCAGAAATATTGTAAACACAATGCTTCAAGACAAGATTTACTGAGGTATACGTTTCACAACAAGCGCAATGAATAGAGGTTACCTATAACAAATGCACAATTGGCTTGATCCTACACCCCGGGCTCAGGAGTCCTCAAGCACTACGAAATCGACACAGATTCATCTAGGAAGATAATAAATAGAGGATAAAGCTCTCCTCTGATCGCTGATCAATCCCTGAGGGATGCGCCATGCATTCGACTTCATTGAGCATCGTTTGGAGGTGACTGAATGCATATCTGGCCTTTACAATATCCCGCGCTGTCGTACCGATGTGTCAAACCAGTGCTGCAATCCTCAGATAGTTAGATATGATTCCAATTTGCGGACCTCGGAGGGATGGAAGACTTGGTGAGCTTTGGGCGTGGAGATCGATCCCATGTGCATTGTAGGGCGCCTCCGACCACTGCGCCACACGCGCCCTCTAGAATGACAAAAACACTGAATTAATCTATGGCTAGGCGACTTCAAGACATTGCTTAGGCCAAATGTGGATTCAATAATCTATAATGGTGTTTCATGCAGTCGAATACATGGTCCCTGACGAACCGATCAACGTCGAGTACTTTAACCTATGCTTTTCGGAACACTAATCAGAGGTGAGATTTTAAACTGTGTCCTTACTATTAAGATAAAATTAAGACACTTGTTAACTATGTAAGAACATACATAGCATGATGGAAACTACTCAAGTATAGCTATTGGGACGTATAGACATGTCCTGAGATTCACATGACAATGTATAAAAGTGAAAACGATATAATATGGTATTCATTTTTTTTTGTGAGATCTAGTCTGAATTCATCCCCAGCATAACAAACTAGGTTTTCGTTCCTTCCTTTCGGTACAGCTCATAAGCACAACAACTCACTATAACTCATCAGCACCAGCACATTTAGGATGATACCAAGTTAGCGCTCTAATAGCAATATCCAAATTTATCGGGTTTTCCCGCTTACGTGGCAGCTATATAAGGTAGCACACTGAGGCGTAAAATATTAACAATCACTACTACAGCCGTCTATCTTGTGCATAGTTTCTTCACAAGATCATCAGCAACTGATAATTGGACCTAAATACGAATTAATCCTTAATAACAATAGCTTACTATTAGTGATAAAATTAACACCTAAACTGAATACAGACAGAACTGATAGTAATATTAGTTACTATTAGCACTAATAGTAAACACAAAATGAAAGCTTGACTCGGACTCGCCTTTCTATTTTTACCGCTTTCTAGGCATGAGATGATCTCTTTTGCTTGGTCTGATGGAACATCTTTGGCATCTACGAAATCCCGAATGTATTCACTGGAACCGCTTTCATTTTTCACCAGGTTTAACATAATTCAAGATTTTGTTTACATTCTGTTTAATAGGTTTGCTAAGAAACAATTGTAATAAGTCACAGATCCATCACATAGCAGTAATAGGTTTATTTAGAAACGTAAAACAACGAGAGTCATAAAAATGTATTACCCAATATAGTCCAGTTCACTTGAACACTCATTTTCAAAATGTTGGAGAACATACAGAAAATTCGACACTATGTCGGCAGTCAGCAGTTTCACATGACATGCTATAAAAAGGATATATAGAGGATGAAGAATAAAAGATAGAGGATAAACATCTAGGCATTAATCAATCGCTGAGGCATGCGCCATGCATTCAGCTATATCAAATACCTTTAGAAGTGATTAAATAAATACGCCTCCCAACGGTTTACCGCCTCACCGTGGCTGGGAGGTGTTCGTGGGTGTCGGCTTGCAATGTACAGCGGGAGGATTCACCCCCACCCCCGGGCAGGGTCTCTCAAGCTGAGGAGTTCGGCGTTTCCATCAGGAAGTCTAGCTAAGAGTAAACCAATATCAGGATCCACCACCGCCCTTGTATGAAACTAGTGGCATGGTGGCTAATCCCTCTGATCCACAAAAATCGGCGCCTGCCTGCGGATGGTGACATGGGACAACCTTTGACCAAGCTGACATCGGAACTCAACGGAACCATAGTGGCTACACCAGTAAAACTTCGAAAAAACGGAAATTATGCTGGGGCCTGCACAATTAATGAAGAGAGGCTACCCAAGTATCCAAATAAATAAATAGATATTTGGCCAATATTATGACTTGCGTTGACCTGCCCACCAATGTATTAAATCAGTGCAGTCATTCCCCGAGACATGTCTGTACCTATTTTCTGCCCCTTAAAGGAAGAGAAAGAGTGATGGACCCAGTGCACCGGATGGAACGAAGGACGGCTTGTGTATTGCAGGAGCAGCTCTAACCACTGTGATATAAGGGCCAATAAGCTTAGTAATTTCTGTCTGGCGCAAATATTTTAACAAGACATACGTGAGTCTTCTAATGTATACGCGATAGTTGTCAAAACTCGAGCTGATTTTCCAACCAATTTCCCACTTTCAGCCTTTCGAACAATGTTCGTTAAAAGCTTTGGCCCACCATTTGCACAAAAGATGCTGAAATCAGAAAGAGTCGCAAACAATCAACTAATCAATTCACGCAGTTGTTCTCTCAGAAACGTATAACATCAGCTGTTCATTTCTAGTCACCCTTGATTAACGTTAAGATATTTCAAGCTACCAGTTCACGCCACATATATCCTAACGGAACTCTTCCCCAAAACTCTCTTTTAAGTGTTAGATTTAAATAAATTATAACTTGACAGTTAAATCTAACATCGCATTCAACAAAGACAAAAAAGAAACTGAAGACTCTTACTTTATACTTACTCGAACGACTCAATATGAGAGCGTACGGAGCCTGATATCGAGCCAAGGAGTTTGAACATAAATTCCTTAAAATGAACAAATAAACCTTAAAAAACAAATGGTTGATAATAAATAAGTTCTCCGTCAAAACATTAAGGAAGAATGTCCTGAAAAATTATGCCTCTGCTTGCGAAAACTCTCTGCTTCACAAACCTCACTGTAGCTATCGTCATCGAGGAGTTTCATCATCTTTGTAAGCAAACCCTTTCTAGCGAACAGTGATTGAACAACAGGGTTATTTTCGGTTAAACTGAGCACAAGTTCAGCAAAACGACATTGTAACGAGAAATGTTCACGTTGACACTGAAGAAAAACTAGCTCAACGTACAAAAATAATAGATGTGACAGTACTTTTGCAGTGGTTTTCTGGACCTACAATTACGATACTCTAACTACGGCCCAACCCCATAAACAATGATGGTACATATTCATGAGCTAGCTGCTTACTCTTGCATTCTAGCGAACCTATGTAGAACAGATCCCTCAGCGGTACACCGCCCCATGATGCCTGAGAGGTGTTCCTATGTGTCGGGCTGCGATGTACAGGAGAGGAGGGAGGGAATCCAAGTTGAAGAGGAGTCCGGCGTTTCCATCACGAAGGCCAACAAGAATAAACCAATACCAGGATCCACCACTGTTCTAGTATCAAACTCGTCGCATGGTGGCAAATCTCGCTTTGAACAACATGGGCGGCGAATGCCTGTGGTGGCGGGAGCATGGGGCAAACTTTGTCTATGGTGACTTCGGAACTCCAAGGAACCACAGTGGCTAAACCAGCAAAACTCCGAGAAAATGGAAACTATGCTGAGGCCCCCACAAGCAGTGAAGACGTACTATCCAACTATCCAAGGAATTGAGGTAGAACAGAAGAGATCACTTTGAATTTTAAGCACATAGAACCATATGCTGCTATTACTTGATATTAAGTGGTACTTGACAAATCTCGCTACATTCATCCATATAAAATTGTTTGCATTTCTCAGCAAACCCCACACTTACACGCTTTTCATACCATTTTCTGAACGACGAGAAAGACAAGTTTACAAAAAAACCGGGATTTTGGACCATTAGGTATCAAAAGAAAGATATGAGGCAAAGAAGTAATGAGCTTGGTGAAGTGCTGCATAATGTCCATTGCTCTAAATTAACAAGCCAACTCGAAGTCATCATTATCTTCAAAACACAACGTTAACCTTCCATTTAGTGCCTATTTCTCACGGCAAAGTACTAAGTGAAAAGCAACCACAATGATGCTCAGATATTCGCAAAACTTGGACCTCAGGCCAGATCGAACCACAATAACCCTTTCTCGGAGCTTGTGTGTAACACAATACACCCCTGAAGTCCTCGATTTGTGGTTAGCGATTCGGTTTGGCCTGGGATCTAAGTTTTGCGAATATCTCAGCATTGTTTTGCTTGTATACTCAAGACAATCTGTTTCTTGCTAATACGACATCTTCAATATGATTGATCATAAGATGTAATGACGATGCAGAACAACTTACAAGAAAAGTTTCAATCACTAATAGACCACCTTTTTCCACAAATTTACTAGTGATTTCAGCATAGCCCAGGATATCTTCTAGATGATCTGTCAACTCCTGGAAAATCACACGATGATTCCAGCAGCTGTAATGCTGAAAGTAAACCTAATCAAAACAAAGATTCTACTACCTCAATCTTTCCGAGATCGTTTTCATTCAGTTCAGCTGGATTCGATGCATAAGAATGTAAGCTGGTAATGATTGCATCCATCTGACGACCTGGATCGCTCTCTTTAACCAGCTCTTTCATCACATTCTCTAACCATTTCCGATTCTGAAAAGCCACTAACCACCCAGAACATTTTCCTAATTCACATGAAACCTTGCTCAAGAAGATACTTGCTTGTTTAAAACGGTGACCCTTTTGCAATATAATCTGTTTCCATCTTGGAAGCGACGCGCTACAGATTGTATGATGGCGTTACGAAGAAAGGACAATAGATAAAGCTCTCGGCATTGATCAATACCTAAGGGATACGCCATGTATTCGACCTCATTAGGCATCGTTTGGAGGTGACTGAATATCTGGCCTTTATAATGACTCGCGGTGGCCTACCGAAAAATCGAGTCAGTGCTGCTACCCTCCTAAATAAGTTTGGTACCAATTTGCTGACTCAGGGATGGAGAGCTTAGTGGACCACAGGCGCGCGGATCGATCCCATATGCACGGCAGGGCGCCTTCGACCATTGTGCTAGACGCACATCTACGGCGTTCCGATGAATAAATTTTGCGCAAAATTGACGAAAACAAAAGAGAAATTAATTCAGCATAATGTCAGACCTCGTTGCTCATCGGTCTGGGTGCGATATTTTGCGATCCCGATTCGGCCGAGGCCTTTGTGGTAATTGCGAGCAGATTCTTCCAGTACTGATCAGGGACATCTTCATCAGGCATTTCAATCGGATTGTTCCTCCTTGTCTTATTTACAACAATGGCAGAAATAGCTAATCAGCGTAGAAGTTCTATAACTTAGGTTAGCAATAAGAAATATGTGGATTTTCCCTACGATGTACAATCGTCAAAGTTCAACAAAGCCATCATTACTTGCAGTTAGCCGTACAATATACTTCTAAGACATAGAGGTATACACATACACTGTACAGAGGAAAAAGAATTTGTGGTAACAGCACCAGGCAGGTCCTAAAGCATCTTGCCATAGATTTTGTCCTCTCCCACAAAGCAATAAGATTGCAAGAAAGGACCTAAAAACCAATGAAACATTTTCCTGACGAAACGAGAAACTGGGAAAGTTAGTCATTCACGTCTCCACCGACGGCGAAGTTTCGACGCTCTAATCGAACGTTCCCGAACTTCTGCCGAGTAGAGCGCGTTTGTGACATAAAGAGGTATTTCAGCAAAAAGCTGAAAAAGACAATGTACAACGGCAGTCATAAGTAACTGAGTAGTTCGATTAGTAACTGAATAGATTCGACAGAACAGGTTTGACCAGAGCTCCAACCCATTGGATTCGACTCGATCCGGCAAGCAAGAGCCAAGTGGTAAAGACGAACAGCTGTGAACCATCGACTTGAATGAGCACCAATGCCAAAACCTATTTCAGATCATTTACAGGGAACTCCACATAAATGTTTGAAAATCCTTCTTCATTTGGTTTGATCTATTACAAAAAGGACGAAAAGGTAAAGGAGAACGTGCCACACATATCTACCCATCAACGTTGACGCCGGTTGTCCAACATAGGAAGTGTACGTGTTCATTAGTGTTGCTGCGGTTGAATTATCGAGGTCGCAATATAGAGCCATTTTTGTGTGAGGATTTCAAAAGCTATCATCACAGCCTCATTTGGCCCATTTGTGTAAACCATTGCAGCAATAACTACGATTTGAATCGCAATAATGAAGAAATAAAACCATGCATCCTGAATCTAACGCAAGCATAACCTTAGCACGGTAATCGGTCGATCTGTGGAAGGGACGTTCCTCCACGTGACAGTTTAGATCCATTCCACCGGCAATTCCAACCATGCTGGTCAGGTGGGCATTTCCATCACCCTAAATGTAAGCTATTCCAGGAATTGCTGACATTCTAAGGGAATCCCAGTCTCAATGTCACGGATCCTCTTCCACTGTGCCAAAATTAACGACACCTTCTGGTGACAATCCGGCCCTTAGGGCGCTACATATTACGATCCACAGTAAGAAACATTCCTAACATGCAAAATAGAAGAACACTTCCTCGCGTAGCAGTAGACCACCCGTAGTGTGCATACATTATCACGTTGTCGGATAACTGGTGAGGACCCTTGAAATTTCGAGTTCAGCACAAGATCACTGGTACAAACTTAGGTAATAAGGCCATTACATGGCATAGGATTTAACTCGTTAGACTAGTAGAAAATCACTTTCCCTAATGTCCATCTCTGACGTCAGCACACTGAGTAAAACAATTCCTGAGAAACATATTTTCCCCATGGTGACTTGCCATAAAGTAGGCGGACATGCTTGTAGACTACTAATACTTGATGTGCTTGTACATGCCACTCATAGAAGCTGACTGGATTATTTATACCGGTAACAGAACACGATAAAAAGGAGGTTAAATGGGACAATAGATACGAAACAATGTTCAAAGAAAAAACATATTCCGAAAGGAAAAAAGCAACACAACACAGGTAAAACAACACAAATTCTTAATTCATTAACAATTCAAAAAACTATGGATGTAAATAACGTAAGCAACACATACTTCTTCGTCGCTTACTGGACGATGCTAATTTAATGAGCTTCAACATCACCCATTATGTTCTAGATTAGAAAAACAGGACTCACAATCTCGAATGCCGACTAACAATAAAGGATGACGTCCATCGGATTTTAGAAGGTTCTATTTCAATGAATTTTTCGAAATCACCCCAAATGTAACATGGGATGAAAATCCCACATCGTACTGAGACGACCTTTTTGGCTTCACACTAGGACATCTCATCTTCAACTGTTTGGCGCACAGTGAAAAAAAAATGAAGTCAGGGAAAACCCAAGACACGACAATAGGAAAAAAGCATAAGATCATATGAAAACAGCCACTTCGCTATTACAAGAAACTGTTGTACTGAATAAAATAACTATACGAAACAAAAAAATAACCATATGTAACCAACGATATGACACATATGAAGAAATTTTCTTCTTGTTGTCCTCCCTCTTGAGCAAGTATATCTTAGAAATTAGTAATTTCTCAAATCATTAAAAACACATCTGGCAAAAATGTAACTAGATGACAGAGATAACGTAGCTGAAAGATCAGCAACGTAATTACCTGGATCATTCAAAAGTGTGAAAAACGATGTATTGTAAAACATGTTGCAACAGTCCCCAAGAGTTTAAATCATGAGCATCTGAAAACTGAAGAGATAAAGGCCATCCCATTCCACAAGGCTGAACGGATAGTTTTGATCACGTGACACCTTAACTAGTGTTTACATCATATGAAAGAAGTATACGTAAGAGAAACTACCAGCGAGACCCATCGTGCTGTCTGCGAAGAAAGAGAGAAACCAAAAATTGTGCTCTATGGAACACTTTAGTATTCTCCTCAGTAACCGTTTATTTATGCAAAATAGCTGATTCGGAAAAATAAAACCTAACCTCTACGTCAACTTGGAAACTGACAACGACGATTTTTACGAAATTAAATGAAGAACTACTAGTTAAATCCAACCAATCTCATTATAAGTACGGAAGAGTAGATCTAGTGATGATTGTGATGATTATTTAATAGATTCTGGTGCTTGCTAGTTTTATCAACAGTTTCAAAACAAAAGAAATGTAGGGACGTGGTTACAGGAGAATGGAATCAGGAAATTAAATTGCAAGTTATGAAAGGTCCTCTTTTAGGGAGTGAATGCAGGTGGATCCTTTTGAATTAAAGCTTCATGATATCATCAGTTTCTATTTACCGCCTACTAATTTTTTTAATGGCAGGGTATTATGTGTTGACAGCCTATAGGTCAATAACATGGCTGAGAGGAAGGCGAAACGAAGAACTAGCATGGTGCGGTGGTGAACGCGTTAGCCCCTGGTAAGGGTTAAAGCGTGTTCGTTCCCCGTCGTAGACATCAGTGGTCCGGAGTTTTCCAAATATTTCAGCATCATTATGTTTATAAAGCTTCATAGTCTGCGGCAAAAAATTCTAGAAATGCTGAACACTTGCTCTGCGTAAGGATACCTGTGTCTTCAAACATTTAGCAACAGAAAGTCGGCAATGTAGGAAAGATTAAAAAATGGTGATGAGAAAGCAAAATTAATCAAACTACTTAAATAAGCATGAAACTTACCGCGTAAGGAAACGATCCTTTTCGCCCTATCTGTGCCAACTAATACCTTTATTCGACCATCACTGGTTTTTCCGATAGCAAAGATTTGCTCATCCACATTGTCCTCATTGGCAACAGCTCCAGCGACACCTGCAGCAACAGCATCACAACTGACAAAAATAGTGACACTTCGAGCCACAAAATAAAACCACGCTAACGAAAATAAATAGAAGTAAACAGCTGCTTCAGCTAAACACGAATAGAAACTCAATTCTCACCGTTGACAGACTCTTCAGAGGGAACCTCTCGTTTAATTTTATCCAGAAGTTCATCTCGTATAGCCGCCTGTAAGAACATAACGCTATTCATAAATAGCTTTTACTAGATAACATCGCACATTACCTTTGTTTCCTGCCTGTTGTCTCGTTTATTCGTTTCTGTCTGCCATTTGCACTTGTTACTCATTTTTATGTTGCTGCATCCTTCAAAAGATTTTTCTTTCTCTTTTTCCCAAGGCTTGTCTTCTTCTCCAACTCTTTCTCGCTGCTCTGCTGCAAGTTTTCGCTGCTTCGTACGTTTCTTATGCTCTTTTTCCACCTCTGATTCTTCCTCAGAGTTGTTTTCATACAGCCATGCTTGCGTAAACTGAAGAGATTGGAAGTGATCAGTTTGCAATCTACTGGAACAATTTCACGTTAATATACATTTTTAAACTCTTTGATTAAGACCACGAAGCTCAAGGATTTGTTAAAACAATTTCTGTCAACGCATCTTACAAAGAAGAAGAAATTCCAATTCACTCGTTTCAGTTCGATACTTCAAGAAAAGATTTCCTTAAGTCATTCTCAAAAATTTGTTTCTCCTACAGCATTACAAATACTTTTCAAATAGTCGCACTTTTATCGCAGTTGAAAGCGTCTCCGAAGGTGGTGGCGACGTGCTTCCACTCTTCAGTGTGGTTGGTTGGTCTGATTCCGGAAGTGCTTTGGTCATTGCTCTTTTGCAGCTGAAAGGTAGCAGGTTGATCTATGAGGTTTCTGCGAAATCTACCTCTTTGGGAAAATGACAGAATAAGTCAGAAGGCAGTAAAACAAGAAAACATATATAGAGGCTAGGCAAATGTGTGTATACCACAACCAAAAAAACTTACGAAGCTGACTTCCACGTATTTCGTTCTTTCTCCAAACCCTTGTGATGGATTGATTTTGGTGTCCTTCTCTGCTCTTTTCTCATTCCCTTTCTCTGAAAATGAAACAACATACTGTTTACCACAACATCGAAGGTCCTCAGATTGTTATTCAGGTTTTCCAAAGAAATAATCCTGAACCAAGGACTAACACTGCAATAACGCACACGCTTTGGAATTACTTTCTTTGATGATTCGTAGTGAAGGATGGCATCTGTTGCAAGCGACAAGTTTTTAGCAGGTTCCCAGGAGTCGTCAGCTTTAGTGTACCCTTTCCAACGCACCTAAAAGTAGATTCCAACTTCTTCCTATTTCGAACACAAAATCTGAAAATATGGGGAGTCACTACCGTTAAGTAGTATTCAAGTACGATTGAAATGCAATAGGAAAGGCAACACTAATACACAACGCTCACCAAATAGAACAATCCCTCTTTTGTGCTCTTATGACCAAGAATTCTTTCTACTTCGTAAAACTTTTCATCGATTTCCGCATTTTCTGCCAACGTTTCCATATCACCATGCCCTGTAGGAGCAATAATCCACTTTGCGAAAACTTCTACCATCGTTGACATAAATAGCGGAAATGTAATCTTATTATTATTGAGCGTTTTCGTAATTCTACGTTTAATTCTGAAGTGAAGAGTCAAATAGAGCACATACAACACAGCCGTAACCGACGTTTAGGAACATGAAGGCGGTTCTGCCGAAACGTCAGCTACAGTTGTGTTGTATGTGTTTTATGGAAGTAAACGCGTGCTGAATAACAATCTCGCGATTGCTGAAAAAGAAAACGAAACATTTGTAACCCAATGCCGAGGTTAATAGAAAGTCGATCTTGGGAACTATTAAGAGCCAAATTTCGACAGTGATCAAAAGACAGTCATTACACCTCTTTTAAATGCCAGTGTTCAGATATGAACAAAAAGGAAACTTTAATTGAGGATGAACGAACAAACTGTTTCATTAATGGGTTTTGTTGGCTGAGACACATCAGGCGAGTTTCCGTCCTTATCTGACTCGATACTGCTGAGCGATTCGAAGTGCTGAAATCAGTTCTGCAAATATACATGAGCACACATAAATGTTGCTGTAAATACCATAAAGGTAATATCGCTCACTCCTCACTGGACTATCGAACACCAGCAGCTGATGTCTTATTATCACAAAGAACTTTCTGTGGAAAAAGTAATTCATGACGTTAGAAGCAATGCTGCTCATACAGAGTTTGTTTTTTAATTGTGTTCACATGCCCATGTTTGAGTACAATACGCCGTCTCACTTTTGCAGTCCTTTTTCCAATTTTGATGACTGAATACCTCTACTCATGACTAATTACCACTAAAAGTCGTTTGTTGCAATGTTGAGCATACCCTTCATTTGCTACCCACAAGCATATTCGGTTCCACAACGGCACCTTTTTTCTCTCTCACAAAGATATCTCCAGAAACAAATTCCCATTTAACAGTTCATCACTTCATCTTGATAGGGCAGGGCACCTCGTGGACGGACAGTATGAGCTAGTGTCCAAAACACAGATTACATACCTTTCCCATTACTTATTTCTGAAAAGTGAATATTAGCGAGAAACAAACACAGTTGCCTCCAAGAGAATGTGAGTGAGGATTGCAGAAGATACGTGTGGGAATGAAAAGCCCAAAGAAAAGTAATCACGAGTTCGAAGTTCACCTATGATTCCGAGTTCTGCTCATATCCCAGCATCTTCATGGTCATAGCATATTTTAGAGAATTTGTTCGGGATTCATCTAATAATGTGAACCAATAAAAATCTGTGTTTAAAGAAGGAAGAGAAATGTACCAAACGATATTCGTTTTCTGTTCTTATTGCATAAAAATACTTACCAAGCAATATGTAGCACACGTATAGCGCTCCCACAGATCTCAAAAACATATATACGGTTCCACTGTACTATCTCACTTTCACCCCACACGTATCTGCTACAATCTTCACTCACTTTCAACCTTTGCAAGAAACTGTGTTCGTTTTCGCTAAAATCCACTTCTCAAAAACAATGCATTAGAAAAGTATGTAATCTGTGTTTTCAACACCAGTGCACTGCCCCGTCGACATGAAGTGATGAACTATTGAGCGGTGATTTGTTTCTAGATATCTTTGAGAAAAAACAATGCCATCACGAAACGGTATACGCTTGTAGGCAGTGAGTGAAGTATATGCTCGACATCGTAACAAACGTTTTTATGTACTGGTTGGCCCAGTGGAATATAAAATTGTAGTTAGTCGGGTTTCTTCTCTGTCCACCAAGTGTTGATGGAATGCCGAACTTCCTTAATTTTCTACGTGGGATTTTTATTCGCGTATTTCTATGTGCCACGGGACCTAAAATTCGGGCAATTTAACTGTTTGTAAATACAATATTTACACGACGATGCAGTGAGACTAGAAATATATGTACAACAAACAGTTGTGTAATATGGAGGCTGGTGCAACGTAATTAAAGGGATATACTCATAACTACACTGAGTCTGCAACCGTGCCCTTATGCTGCCTATTTAGGGAAAGGTGAAGCATAAGAGGCAAGCAAGAGATGATAGAGCGACTTAGCCGCAGGAGTGATCTGATGTGACGGAGAGTACAGTAGCGTCGGTAGAAGCGATTTGCCATAGATGAGAGAGCAATTTAGCCGCAGACGTGGGGTGGGGAGTACTATGATGTATAAATATTACGAAGGATACAACAGTGCCAGCAGAAGAGGTTAGCACATTAGAAGGCACATGTGAAGTTGTGACATTACGAAATGGTTGCGATGAGGAGTAACGAGAAAATATCATGGACTTGCGATTAATTTAAATAAACATATGTTTAACTGATATGATGAGAGCTACAAGGTTGTGAAGATAAGATTGGTTGGAATGACTGATATGAAGTAGCCTTGCTTAGATTACTGATTGAAGACTATTGTGTAGTAATGAAGTGAACTACAACCATGAGTGCGAGGATTATAACAAAGTTGCAATAACAATGCTACGGAATATATTATACATAAACAAGCACATTTATACAATAAGGCAACCAAATCATTTACAGGGATGATAGTTATTGTGACGAGCCGTCAGGAGGCAAATGGCAATGCTAAGAGGGGTGACTAGATCCAAACGAGTGGGGTGGGTCGAATGGTCAAAGCACTGGTTGCAAAGTCTAATCCCTAAGCAATGAATCGTGCATGGTAGCATGCCTGGTCGTGTGCCAGATGGCTAAGAGTTGCCGTGTTTAGCGGCGTTCCCAATAGTTAAGATGGGATGTGAATGTAGGGCACGGACGCATGCCTTGTGACAAATATTTTACTATGTGATAGGTTGCATGCATTGCAAGAAATGTTCTCTATGGGCTTATAAAATATATGTTAGGTAGATTGAGAGTTCTCTATTTGAAGGAAAAATTCTCCATACTTTAGAGGAAATTTGTCGTAAAACAGGTAAAACGTAACAAACAAAACATTTATGAAAGGTGGAAAAGAGACTGCCAATTCTAGGACTGTACATTGCATTAAAATATAATTATGCAAATGAAATAAAACATCCCAACGGCTTACCGCCTTACCGTGGCTGGACCGAGTTCGTGGGTGTCGGGTTGCGATGTATAGCGGGAGATTCATCCACCGGCAGGGTCTCCCAAGCTGAGGAATCCGGCGTTTCCTTCAGGAAGCCCAGTTAAGAGTAGACTAGACCAATACCAGGATCCACCACCGTCCTGGTATCAAACCAGTCGCAAGGTGACAAATCGACAACCTGGAGCAGACTGTGGCTAGGCTTACCACGGCGCTACATGGAACCACAGTGGTTAAATCACCAAAACTTCGGAATAATGGAAATCATGCTGGGGTCCGCACAACCAGTGAAGGCGGGCCATCGAAGCATCTAATTAATAGAACAAAAAGAAACAAACTATTCCTGAACTACATTGTCCCCAGTGCCATAAGTTGCTTTTCCACAGAAAGTTCTTTGTGATAATAAGACATCAACTGTTGGTGTTCGACAGCTCAGTGAGGAATAAACAATGTTACCTTTTCCGCATTTACGATAATGTTAATACATGAGTAGATGATGGCCTGACAGGAATAACCGGTGTATGTAATGGACGAAAAAACTTTTTAAAAGTCCATTAGTAAATGTAAAAACACCTTGAAGATGAAAACAGCAATCAGTGGTAACAAAGTCTTACCATATTCTTATTAGAAGAACAAAGCCTTACCATTTCACCTCCGTAGTATAATAATCAACATCGTCAACATGTCGATTATCCGTTGAAAAACAAGTTACTACCAACGGATAAGCATATCAACAACTACCCTGGATAAAAGAGCGTCGCCAGGTGAGTATGGCTCATTCGGGATGCTCAGCTGAGGAAGACCCGGTTCGATGCGAGATGAAAGCGCCACATCGAGAAGAGGAACAACTGTGGATCATCGACAAGAATTTTCGGCTCTGATGAAGACCAAAAGCACGAAACGTTAGCCGAATACACGTCTAATATCAGCCTCGTGTAAGCTCAACAACATAAACAAAAGCTTTATCATATTTTCAATGGAAAGCGACCAGAAGGGATCGATTGAAATTACTAAAATCCTATAAGTTCCTTTTACGAACAAATGACACAGATCGACAACAGAGTGAAAATTATAAAAAAAAACTAAGATTCTAAATAAGACAGCAAAACTTGCACTAAGAAAATCGGCGACTACACTTGGCGGAGAGAAAACAAAGTGTAAGAGCCTATAGGCTCAGCCATCATAAGAAAACAGGACAGTCCATTAATTTCACAGAATTACAAGTCCAAGGTGATTACAGTGGCGCTGGATCGACCTCATGTGCATTCCAAGGCGCCTCTGACCAGTACACTCGTCACTATTATTAACCAAAACAAAAACACTTCGGACTGCATATGAGTCAATTCTTCATCGATCGGAAAATTGGTATCAAACATGTATAGGACGATAACAGCACTGAGCTGATACATCGATAACCCTCATGCAATTCGTTTTATAGGCCAAACATACACAATCACCTCGAGCGATGCTATGAATGGAATCGAATGCATATTTCATCTCTTAGAGGTTGATCAATGTCAAATGCTTTATACTTCATCCTTTTATTGATTAAATCATGACCAGGATACGCTTTACACTGATCCTTGTAAGGTATTTTCCACTACTCAACTAGGCTTACACAATGAAGAATACTCAAAAATCAAAAACTTAGAAGAACAGTACCTAGGAGAGGATCGGAAGTAATGGACGTCTTTAGGTTACTTTCGCAGCGAAGTTGATTTGCCCACAACTGTCGATGACTTCTCGATTACTGTAGTATTTCAGAAATTTGCAACTTCATAGTCTTATAGAAGAGAGCCTGCAAAGGTCAAGTTGACTGCAATATACACGGCCAAACATCTCCATAACCAAACAGAGAAAACGCTGAACCGAAAGAAAACTGGCTTCTATTTCTGAACGTGCAAATTAACCTATTAGAAAACGGCTACATTACGAAATGGTATCGAAAGCCAAGTAGTAAAAACATCTTGGTTCATTACCTCTCCTCTCACTCCTCTCACACGAAGAGGTCGCCTGTAAGAAACATGTTTCGAACAGCAACCAACGTGTGCACGGGAAGAGATCAGAGAGAGGAGTCCCGGAACTTGGCGTGGCAAATAGCCATTTTCAACGGCTACGAAACTGTAGCTCGAGATAGGTGTAGAGGAAACCACAGGTACCCCAACGATAACGCTAGCGACAATGAGGTCCAGTTTATACTGTCCTTCATTTCAAATGAAGTAAGTGTAGCTATAAAACGCTGTTTAAGAAGAGCCGGTCTAAAGAAATCGGTAACGATAATTGAAATACCACCGAGTAATCTAATACGCCAGCTAGTTCGTAACCGCCTATACGACCGTCTATGTGCAACGCAAAATTGCATAATTTGCCCCAATGGTAGAGACGGTGACTGCATGAGTTCGGGTACAGTCTATCTGATCTCTTGTAAAGCGTGCGGGGGCGAATACGTTGGCGAAAACAGGTAGACCACTCGGCGTACGTATAAAAGAACACCTAGTCGGCAAACGTAAGCTAAGTACTCCACTAGGTACGCATAGCACGCAGAAACATAACGGAGAAGATTTTGAAGTAGGGGTTACGATCCTTGCGCAAGAATCGAGAACACAAGCGCGCAAAACTCTAGAGGCATTCTGGATAAATTCCAAGAATCCGAAAATGAACCGCAGGGAGGAATGCCTCGTTATCACGCGTGATATTGGACAGTATATAAACCTGTTATTCTGATGAGATGGGCACAATACGATTCCGTGTGAACTCTGTGCGGTTGGCCTCCACGTGACATATTTAGTGGAAAACTCACAGAAAGCGTTGAGTGTGCAAAGACTCTGTGTTCAATGTGATTGAAATTTTGGTGCAGCATTTTCTGTTTGGTTATGGAGATATTTGGCCGTGTGGATTGCAGTAAACTTGATCTTTCCAGGCTCTAAGGAAGGCGAAATCCGCCGAAACGTCAGCTTGTACGTAAATGAAGAAATAACACCTCGCGTTTATTGAACAGAAGTAGAAAGAATTATTCTATCAATGTCGAGGTTAATAGAAAGTCGGACGTGGGTGTTGATCAAAAGACTTTAGTGTCCGTTTTTAGAGGATGGCAGCTGAAAGGGCAGAGCCTCGGGCTATTGAGAAACACCGTCGTATCATTGCTAGAAATTACTATAGAGTGCAAAACCAGAGAAAGCGAAAGTGGTAATAAATGGTATATTCTCCGATCGTTCTTGTACAAAATGGATAACTTATACTTATTTGTTTACTTACAAAGTTCGGACCTCAGTCCGGAATCGAACCCAGGACCACCCTTTACAGAGGCTCACGTGTTACCCAGTGCACTTTGAAGCCCTCGCTTTGCTTTTCTCTCAGTCAGTTTTTTACCTAACGGTGCCATTTCTACCAAAGCTGGATGAGAGAAAAGCAAAGCAAGGGCTTAAATAGTGCAGTAGGTAACAAGTGAGCCCCTGGAAAGGGTAGCCGTGGGCTCGGATCTGGCCTAAAGTCCAAGTTTTGCAAATATGCAAATATATCAGCTTCATTTTGGTTGTGTTTCACGTAATACCATGCCCTGAAAACATTAGTAGGCAATAAATAAAGAAGTTACCTGTTATTTATTTCTTTATTTACATGATCCATCTTCATCGCAGCATTTCTTGCGTTCAGTTAGCTTCCTCCCATCCATAATCCACGACGATCTTCGAACTCTCAGCATGTTGGTTCGGCTGCTGCTTGAGGAATGTCTTCTTATGAATGTTCTTGAATTATGCTGGAGTCTCGGAATCCTGAAACAGCAGCATTATGGATTTCTCATGTAGACTAAAGGGAATGAGCTGGTCTTAGACAAGCCTAATAACAATTCCCCAACCCCAAAGGGATCGGAGGCTTAGTGAACTCAGTGCATCGTCGAGCCAGAACAGTATTCGTGATAATTGGTATCAATACCACTACGCTATCCGCCTCCCAACGAATAATCTATAGGTCAGATAACTACGATTTGTCTCTAACGGTAATCGTAACAGGTAAAACTCTACTAAAACGTTTTGTTTGATGTGAAAAGCTTACCCTTTTGTTATTTTATGGCTCGGCAGAAACAAGGTGTTAAGAGTGAAGCCGTGATTGCACAACATGCGCGGGCAATACGCTAATCCGTGGGAATTGATTGCGTTGATGAAAGGCCATATGGTTATGGCAGTCTGGCTGCTTATTAAGCGTAATGAGAGATCGTGCCTTAGCTTAGGGGCCAAGTATACTTTGTCGATTTTCCACTCTTTATTGGTTTTATACCTACCTTGATACTTTTATGGTCCGTCTTCACAGGTGTTGCGAGTGCTAGCATAATTTCTATTCGTTTCCCTCTCGCGCAATTGTCATCCGTCGGCGTGTTGCTTTTATACCTAGTGAATTTCTCGAGATTCAATGTTTTTTTTTCAATGAGCAAACACAAGGTTGATATTATAGCATTTGTTAGCATACAATAACTGGAGTTTCGGCGGTCTCGACTTCTTCAGAGCTTGGAAAGGTCAGATTGACATACAATATACTTAGCCCAAGGCTTCCGTAACCTCCGCAGACAAAACTTGACGCGTAAATTTCCACTCGCTCAATAAAACGGACACTCGCCGTTTCAGTCTTTGTAAGAATTCCACTTAGTTGGTGGGAAGCGGCTGCACTGAATAATACATGGGAGAAGAATGCTCCAAGGTCAGGTCATAGAATCGGGCTGAGGTATGGTATGAGGTCACGCGTACCACAAAGCACTCCTTCTTACGGTTCGTTTTTAGTTTCTTGGAATTTATCCGAGACGCTTTAAGACCTTTACGCGCTAATGTTCTGGATTCCTGTGCCTGGAGAGTGACTTTTACTTCGAAATATTCTCCGTTATGTAACTCAACGCGCGAGAATCCAAAACATCGGCGCGTAAAACTCTTGGAGCCTTTCAAATAAATTCTAAACTACCCAAAAATGAGCCACAATAAGGTGCGTCTTATTATTACGCGTAACCTCGCGCCATACCTTGGGCCAATTCTAAGACGTAATGACCCAGGCACATTCCTCGCCCATGTGTTACTCTGTGCTACTGCTTCGCACCAATTAACTAGAATTCTTACAAGGACTAGAACGGTGGGTGTTTAAAAGACGCCGTTTCATTGAGCGAATGGAAATTTACGGGTTGAGTTTCGTCTGGAAAGGTTATGGAAGTCTTTGGCTGAGTGGATTGCATGGCAATTTGATCTTTTCAGGTTCTGAAGAAGGGTAAACCGCCGACACCTCAGCTATTGCGTGCTTATAAATACTGTAATACGAACCTCGTGTTCGCTCGTCGAAGAAAAACAGTTAGTTATTGATCAAGAAGAAAGTCGGTCGTGGAATTTCTTCTAGATTCTTCAGGTTAAACGAGGCTGTAGCAAAGGTTTATCTAACCAAGTGTATTCTGATGATTCTAGAGGAATATATTGATTATTCATCCCGATGTTACGTGGACATCGGTTTAGAATGAATTTTATATTCGTCGATAAAATGTCACAAATCCTTTTCTTACTGTGAATATTTAGCAAATCATGGTTGTCAGAGTTCATTCGTTTGCCTGAAACAATCCAACAATGGACTTTGCATCGAGTTTTCGTTCGTCAGGAGAGAATGCATTCTACTCAAATCGTGCGCCACAGGTGAGGTTATTGTTTTACTACCTTATTTTCGTACTTGTTTTTAGTCTTTTGTAACAGCGGAATGTTTCCCAGTTATTGTTGGTTTTCTGAACTTTCACTAAGTTTCCGTACTAAGTGTGATTGCTCCAAATATCGTATTCGAGTTTATTGGAACTCGATCTTTTCCCTAATGCAGTCTTTATTATTCAATGCTTACTTCGGTCTTGGATGAATCATATTTCCTTCCCTTTTTGATGATTTTGTTTTTCAATCTTTTTCATACACTCCTAATCTTTATTCATCTTTTTCCTACCATTTCTTCCTTTCTGCTATGTTTTAGGTACTGTTTTTCCCCTAGTTCACAATAACTGTTGAAGGCGTATTATTAGGTTTCCACTGATTTATAATCTGATTAGGTACTTTTTTTTACAATCAAAGTGCACTTTTGTGCAGTACCAATACAAATTAAGGGGCGCGGGTAGCGCAGTCGTCGAGGGCACGCTGCAACACACTTGGAATCGATCCCCGTGTCTGGCAAATTTGGGCCAGACCTGTTTGGGAGGATGCCAGCGCTGGCTCAATACATTGGTAGACCACTGGGAGTCACTTTAAAGGTCATATATGCATCCAGTCACCTCCATACGATGCTTAATGAGGTCGAATGAATGACGCATCCTTGGATGATTGATCAACACCGAGTGCTTTATTCTTTTTACCCCTTTATCAGTACAAGTAAAGTGAGTCCTGAATTAATAATTTACTTTGTTAACCGTGTTTTGAGTTTTTGACATTCCAGATCACAAAAAAATACGTTTTTACTTGATGGGTCTTGCTTTCGCTAGCTTCTTAACTGTTCTAGGCGATGTTCAAAGTACTACGAGGTCTGCACTGTCATAATCTGGAGAGTAGAGGTCTGAACGATATGTCGGAAGCGTTCCAGAATTTTCTCACAAGAGCACGATTTTTCAGCATTGGGAAGTTGAGGTTAGAGCTAGTAGTACCGCACACTTGAACATTGGCAAATACATTTAAAATCATAGAATTTTCATTTCATTTACAATTCAATGAAGTGTTCCCTTAACGAATTCGTGTCAGCGGGTAATTTTCCTCTAATAGCCGTTATCACTGAATGCCAGGCATACGATTGGGAATGTCCGCTCAAAGATGTATCGATTTTTGTTATACTTCTTTTGTCCGAGGATATTTAACAATTGTTCTGGAAATAAAAAGGAAGCTATTGCAAGGAAGGTTTAGCCCTGTATATCCATTGCACGAAGAATGAAGAACGGCCAAGTGTGCATGCAGGGTTTCGTAAAAGATTCGCTATGATGCACCACATCCACACGATATCAAGCCTCATTGAAGTATCGCAGTGCTGAAAAAGACTGCGTTATACCACTTCCATCGATTTAAGGAAAACTTTTGACTCAGTTCAGATAGAAGTTATGGAAGCCCTGAACAGCCTAACAGTGCCTACTCAGTATATAAATATTCTTCATGAGCTGTTTAAAAATTTGAAATCAAGAAATCGTCATTCTATAAGAATATTAACAGCAACGTCAAAAGAGGAGTTAAGCTAGGTGATACTATCTCACCAAAATTGTTTACTACTGATTCGGAGGTCATGCGAACATTGGAATGGGACAACATTGGAGTGAAAGTCGATGGTCGGCAATTCATCTTCCATTTTCGCATTTCTGTTGGTATCGTTTTATAACGTCAACATTAGCCAGGCGGAAAGAATGCTTGACAACTTTGGTAAAGCCTATAGAAGCTCCGACCTTCGTCAACGATCGAAATTCAAAGATGCCGTTCTATACGCCAAATTGTCGAAGATATGGTTGACCGCATATAATGCGTATGGACGACAACCGATAGGTAAAAGCCGTTTATGACTGGGTTTCTCGCGATGTCAAACGCACTGTAGGAAGACCACCGACCCGATGGTCAGAGTTGTTCACGAAGACCCTAGAATAAAAATATGAGGCTCATCGAGATCGCAGAGTGAGCAAAATGCACTGGGCGACTCGACTAGCATTCAGCAACATTCGTGATGAAACGATTATTCTCGAACACCAGTCGAACCAACACACGAAAGTTCAAAGATCTAGCTGGATGACGATTTCGAGAAAGTGAATCAAAAGCAGAAAATGCTCGGATACGCACACTAGACGTGGAAGACGGGCAGTGCAGAATAAATAAAACTACTGATTACAGGCGAACATGGTCTCATTCGGCTGCCGAGTTCATCAAGTACCGCCGCCTTTTACCGATGCTAATGGCAGACGGACAACATTTCAGCTCAGCTGAAACCGATGGTGAGTGTCTACGAAGACGATTTTTATTATAATGTAAGATTATTCTGGGAAGAAAGTGTGCAGTCTATTTTTTTTAATATAATGAGTATCTTTTGACTCCGCGTTGAATTATTTGATTGAAAGTTAACATTATCTGCTATATGTTTAAAATAGGGGGTGGGGGTGTTCTTTCTATATATAAGGTGTTTGTTGAGCGGATATGCAACAAAAAAGGCGAGATCCCAAAATGAGATTTCAAGGTTACTCATTAAAACAACAAATTAGCATCTATAAGCTTCAGCACTTAAAAGGAAATCAAATGGTTACAATATTTCTGAATAACGTTGTTAGGAAAGCTGTTTAAATGAGAATTTTTGTGGAATGTTAAACCTAAACGAGAGATATATTATGCTCCTCGTGATATCAGCAACTACTCCGTGAAAATCATTGCTGGTTAAAAAGTGTCATCTAGAAACTTTTTTCTGATTAGAAAATCTTTCAAGTTTTAGTCTATCTTAGATTTCGACGCATCGTTAGCTTATCATACGAAGTTGAAGGAGAGTCGGAAGATCGTCGTGACGAATATATCGGATAGAGTTACACGAACACAACTGCAGTCATTCTTCTCGATATTTGGAACGGTTAGGCGGTTTTGACTTGGTCATCAACTTTTGTCTTTCAAGTTTGCATTGAAAGTGGGGATAATGTCTAGCAACCAAGTTGCACCTATGTTTTTGCCGCAACATCTCATATTTGGCTCGCTTGTTTACCATCTCTCGGACACGTCTTTTTATTCCGCGCACGAATTAATTATCCTATACTACTTTTGAACCAAGTATTCTCAAAATGCTTTCGAACCTTATGCATATACTTGATACACGAAGCATATAAATGCACATGGGATTCGTCGCATTCGTGTAATGCTTACTTGGATACCTGGATGGCCCATCTTCACTGGTTTGTGCCGCTTCTAGCTTGATTTCTATTTTTCGGAGTTTTGCTTGTTTTAGCCATTGGCGGTTCTCTGAAGTCCCGAGGTCAGCCTAGCCAAAGTTTAGCCCAAATCGTTACCATCACAGACAGTCGCCACCCTTATGGATCAGAAGGAGATTTACCACCATGCGTCTAGTTTGGTGCCAGAACGGTGGTGGATCCTGGTACTTATTTGCTCTTAGATGGGCCTCCTGATGGAAACATCGGACTGCTCAGCTTGGGAGACCCTTCCAGGGGATGAATCCCCCGCTGTACATCGAAACCCTGTACCTAGGAACACTTCCTAGCCACGATGAGGCGGTAAACCATTGTTAGGTTCGTGGTGTATGGCCTTACAAAGCTGCTTGTTTTATCTTTTTTGTTTGGTTAATTTTGAATTTGTTAGCACATTCTCTAAGAATTTTATTAATTTTTTCACTTAATATCCTCTATTAAATTCCATATATAGGTATTACACTGCTCATTACCAAGGCAAGACGAACGTCATTCAATGTTTGGAACAATGCCGAGGAGTCCGAGGAACTGTGGAACCGCCACGATTACATTCAAGTAATCAGAACAAAAAAGCTGCGGAAATATTTAGTCTTGATTCACGTTCAGTTATTGTTTAAGAAGAGTGGAGGAGGCCGAAAAAGCTAAGAGAGCCACTCCAGATCAGCTAAAGTTTTATGGGCAGTGTATGGTCGTGTCAGAGGTTTGTTACCAAATTGTTGTAAAGTAACCTTAAGTTAGGTGGTCGTTGCAAAGGTCGGTCTTTGATCTTTTGGAAATGACATTTTGTTTTCGATTGAATTTTAAAAGTTCGAGGGAGCAGTTGTTTCTGTTTTCGAAGGATTTTTCAAAAAATTATATTACCTAGCATTTAGATCTGCTATGCTTTTTTCTTAATTCGATTTGTCTAATATACTACATAAGGTTTTAAAATACTTAGTTGTCAAGTTGGAAGTACTATTCACAGCTTTCGAGCGTTATTTAAATCTATTTTGTGTTGTTTGGTTTGCTTTAGCTATTGAAGACATGTGGTGGTTATGAGAGTAGTGAAGAAATGACGTTAAGAATTTGCTTTCAGTCGTTAAAGATTTCTTCCTTTTTTAGTACGTTTCAAAACGAAAAGGTGGCAAAGGAATGGTTTTAGTGGACGATAACAGAGGTATGATCTTCCCAAAGTTGTAATGTGACTTGTGATTATCTGATATGTATAGCAGTTATTATCAGTTTACATTAGCTTTTCAAGTGTTTCTTGGAAACATCCCACTTATCGATTTTGTCGAAGTCATGATCTACAATTTAATTTATTATTGAAAGCATTTTATACAGTAACTGCCACAACCGACTTTCTATTAACCTCGGCATTGATCAAGTGATTTTCTTCGTATTTTTGTTGAGCAAACGCGAGGTGTTACTATTCTTTGTTCACAATTAAGCTGACGTTTCGGCGGATTTCGCCTTCTTCAGAGCCTGGAAAGGTCAAGTTGATAGCAACTCACTCGGCCAGACGCCTCCATAACCAAACAAAGAAACTCCAAACCAAGATTTCAATCACTTTGAACACAGCTTTGCACACTCACCGCTTTCTATGAGGTTTCTACTAAGTATGTCACGTAGAGACAATGCCGAGGTTAATAGAAAGTCGGTCGTGGCAGTTACTGCAAGATGTACCAGCAAAATACTTCCGACTTGTAAAAGAAGCGCTGTCACTGAGACAAAAGATCGTCTCAGCTCGACAGTCAATACACTTTCTCCGCCGCTGTCTAAAACATCAAGTCGTTCCGAACTTCATCAAACGAAGACGACTACACGACGTATGCGGTCTACCAGAGGACAGTCACCAAGTATTGGACGTCGAATTGCGAATACTACGCACCTGTCTACGAAGCCGACAAAACCAGATGTTCGCCAAGTGGAAGAAGTGCGAGACGAAGGAAAACTTTTGTGCTAAATATTTGGAGGACCACCTCTGGAGGAGAATAGTGAGCGGGTCAGTGTTGATTTGCAACTCTATTAGGTCTAATGCTAAAGTAGCTTTGCGAAGAAAATTCGAAAACCTTTTGAGTAAATCACATAATACAGCTTCAATAGCGCACAAAAATATCGCTAAAGAACATCAAACAGATCACATTAGGATAGGTAATGTGCAAGAAAATTCAAGGCTAACCGTGTTAGGAGGCATAACTCTCCCTGACGGTGCGCGCTCGTTATTAGAATTGGGGCCGAGTTTCTCACCATCTGAACCCATTTCTAAGATAACCTTGCGTAGGGTCGCATGTGGTTTACATGAACTTCAAGAAAGACTCCGCAAAAAAGCTAAAGATGAAGCGCTAAATAG